TATTAAATGAGTGAAGGAGTAATTACATCATTCTAAATTTAAATAATTAGATTTTACATATAAATATTCTTTGGCTTCTATCATAGTGATATCTTCAAGGAATGGTCCAGGAACAAGTCTTTTTAAATATCTTTCATATTCATCATCATAATCTCTATAATATGGAATTGAATCTGTCATATTGTTATAATGTATTAAAATTTATAAAATAATTATATATTAAGTAGAATGGCTCAAATGATCATCGAATAGTTGGAATATTTAAGGGACTATATAGTTATTTGCAATCTTAATTATTTTAAGGATAGATATTCCAAAAACGTAAAGTCTCATCTCCCGCTCCAGTTACAATAGTGGATCCATCAGGTGACATAGCTAAATAAAGTACTCTTTAAATATTAATAATAATAGTACCTACAAGTGTGTCCAACTAAAGTAGATATTCTTTTCATATTATTACATTTCCATAGTACAATTTAATTTTGACTATATCCATGTGTTGAAATGAGTTCATTTTCTATTTTACTAAACATAAGATTACAGACTTGACTACCAGTATCTTCTTTTAATAATGATTTTCCTTCAAGAGCATTCCAAAATCTAATCATTTTATCTGCAGTCCCTCCACCACTAGCTAATAATCCATGTTAATGAGGACTCCATGCTATTGCTTTTACTGCAGCTTAATGTTCACATAATCTAAATATTGGTTTGTCTTATTTATGTGATGACCATATATATAGTTTATTATCATTTCCTCCTGAAGCTAACATTTAACCATCAGGTGACCATTTTAATCCACAAACCTCTTATTTATGTGCTTACTATTTTAAAAAGTAATTTCCTTTCAATCTTAAATCTCTTTATAATATCAATTTATCTCTTGAACCACTACTTAATACATTATCTGAAAAACATAATGTTCCTACTCTTGCTATGTGACCCTTATAAGTACGTACTCTTTATAATTTTATTGCATCCCAAATCTATACTTCTCCTAACTTTGTTCCAACTGCCAAATGAGGTCCTCTTAAAGACCATGACACACTTGTAACTTAATCATTATGGAGATCCAATAATTTTGTAACTTTCGAAGATTAAGCATTCCTGTAATTATTTTTTAGAATATTCATACCATAAGTATACACAAGAATTTAATGCTACAGATAAAGTATTCTAACTACTCCAATCAATTAGATTTAAATAAAAATCATCCTAAAGTTATGGTGCATCAAGAACTTTAAATGGAACTTTCTGTATTTTTCTTACATATTTACTATAATAATTAGATAGTGTTTCTGATATTGTAAAATACTTATGATCTATTAGAATACTAATTATAAGATTATTATGTTATCTACCTATTGTATATTTTAGAATTATGGATGTTTATATTATTCTGCTGACTGTATTGAAATCCACTTTGATTCATGAACTACATTGAATCTTGCTCAAATATAGGCTCCTATTCTAATATTTACTATTTATATAGCATCTCTAATGCCATTTATGCTGATGCCATATCTTAACTCTCCAATTTATTTTCATTTATTATTGAGAAATTGTTCTTTAATTTCGTAACAAACCGATCACCAAAAAAAGATTTCTATCGCTTACAATCTGTGCTACTCAAATTGTATTAGTTTTCTTGCCTTGACTATTAATGGTTCTATTATTAAATAGGCATATCATTGCACAAAGCTTAATTAGAAACAGTCTTTTATAAGTTATATTAGTATTACTTAGCTTTTCAGTTTAGACATTGGCAAACAAATATATTTATATTAAATAAATATAAAATATTCACTTTTTTCAATAATATTTCAAATATATTAATATGTAACAACGATTACAAACACACATCCTCACTGATGAAGGCCGAAAGTCTAGTTTAGATATTATTAGTCCCTTAAGAGAGATGTATTAACTTAGAAGAAATGTTATGAAACTTGAAAAATAACGTACTGATGAAAGTTGTCATCGTAAATCAGAAGAATTTATTAAAAATATTAGTCAATCTCACAGAGATGTTATTATACCTCAACATCTTAAATTTGAAGATAATCTTGATGGTAGTAGAGCTACCATCCATTCCATTAATTCTGTTGCATAAAATTATGAAATCATCAAACCTAATATTCATTACATTGATTGGAATAAGGAGAATTAATAGAATCAGAGCAATAAGTATAAACACCATTAAAAAAGTCAATCCAATAAAAATTAAACTAAATTTCTCCAATTAGATAATTAACGTCAATAAATTAATAAAACAATTCAATAAGTACTGCCTTCATGATTAATCGAATAGATGTCCAAGTGTAATAGACAATTAGCTAATGTGTTGAAAACCTAAGTTGACAAACTATTCGATACTATCAAAACTGAATATACATATGCTTGACATTTATTTTATATATATTTAATTAAAATCTATTCATAATTAATTGCATAGTGTGTATTCATCATTATTTATACTAATCAAAATCCAAAAGTTTCAAAATCTGCATATTTTATATATAAAATATTATCCTATATATTTTTCTATTAATCAACAATTGAACCTACAGTTTAATCCTCTATTTTAATCTAAAACATATACCTCTCATCATTAAAAGCGAATTATTACAATATAAAAAGATGCTAGTTGTTTTATTTATGCCAGCATTTTACTTAATGCAATGTAAAAATTCGACTAAATTCTTAGTTTTGTCAATTGCAAATCTAAATTATTGAATTTATTCTATTACATTTTCCAAGGTTACTAAGTTTAACTATTAGCTTGAAACGATGCTTTTTTATGCTTTTCAACAACGACCAAAGCTTTTTATTAACCAACAGCATTCATAACATTTTAATATCGGAGTTATCTTTCTTCTACTGTGTACTTTTTTTAATATTCAAATTCATTATCATTTGCTGCTCCCATGAGATTCATTTTTTTTTAAAACATTTCTTTATATATTTAATATACTAATTTATTATAAAAAAAAAATAATTATATAGTTATAAACAATTGAATAACTTTCATCATTCTACAGGTTTTTTTTCTGGAACTTTTACAATTTATTTATATTTCTATTAAATATCATTAAAAGCTTCTTCATCTTCTAGATCTTTCAACTTACTAATAAAATAATAATAAGTATAATATACTTAAGTAGCTAAAGTGATGAAGAATATTTTAAATTTATTAATTCTCCAATTTAAACTAAAGTATTCTATTCAAATCTTTATTTAGATGCAGTTTAATAATTTCGAACATATTCTTATTCATCTTTAAATTTTTTGAGTTTGTTTTGGACTGTCATTTATCTTTCCAAATATTATTTTTAATATTTATCCTAAATGTATATAAAAATGGATTACTTCTTTTTTTTTCTTCATAAATGAAATGAATTCTAAATGTTCTTTTTAATTTAAAATTTTTTATTCTTTTATAGATTTCCATTCTTCACTTTTTTTGGTTTAGAATTTATCAATCCTATCTTAAATACTTTTTAATTTTTCATCCCATTCTTCAATTTTTTCTTATTGTTTATCTTCTTTTTATTTATATCTTTCTTTTTATTTTGAGAATCTAGTTTAGTGCTCCTTTTTTTTATCAATTTACATTTTCAATACTAATTTATCATGCTCTTCTAATAATTTTTCTGATTTAGATAATTTTTATCCAACTTTATTAAATAGTTCTGATTCTTTTTCTTCTCTTTCTTATTTAATTTTAAGATTGATATTGTTTAATTTTTATTCAAAGAATTATTATTTTTCTAATCTATTTTTTTCTAATTATTCTGCAGTTTTTTATCTTTTGCTCATAGAAAATTCTAATGCTTGTTATTTTTTAACAAGTTCTTCCATCAAACGATTACCAAAATCATCTTTGAAATGATTAATTTTATCATCTACTTTACGATTACGAGAGGCAATTTCAGAGATAATTTTGGTTCGTTTTTATTGTAGTAATAATTCTCTAAAGAATAATAAAAATTAGAATTTTACTTAGCTTCTAATTTTTCTTATATTGATTTGGATTTACGGAAATCATTTTCTAATTATTTTCTTAATAATTATTAATGAGTTTAAAATTTTTCATTAACCTTCTTATTTTCAGATACAGCTTTTTTTTTAAGTTTATCAAATGTTTCTTTACGTGAAACTAAACATTTTTATTCTTTAGATAAATTTTCTTAAATAATAAGTCTTCTATCAAGTTCTTATTTGATAGCTTCTTTAGCAAAACAATCATTAATTTTTTATTCTTTATTTCTTTCTTCTTCAATAAATTATAATTTTTAATCAAGAGTAAGTTATTCAATTTGATTACGAATAAACTTTTTATTATTAGTAGATTCAGGCCATTTACTAGATAATAATATGAATTTACTATCCTCTAAGTTCATCTTCTTCTTTTTATCTTTTTTCAAAATCAACTTTAATTCTTTTTCTATTTTCAAAGAGAGTCTCATAATCCACTAACATAATAATAATAAATGAATTACTGATCAATTCTCTCATGTAATTTAAATAGGTCTTCTACAAGTCAGCTTCAGTATATGGTATTTTTTGGATCTCAAAATCATAACGCAACTCGAATTTATTCCTAGATGAGTCAGATTTAGAAATGAAACTTTCGACGAAAGTGATGACGATCTTATCCCATGCTTTCAATGGCTTTTTATGTAATAGGAGAATCAGGACGGAATTTAAGTTCATATTCTTAGATGAGAGAGAGGAGTTTACGAGGATTGGAAATATTGATGAATTTTGGCTCTGTGACAAATAGCATTTAATTAATTAATTAAAATGTATTCTTGCGATATATTACCATTACCAGGATAATAATAACTACGTTATGGAAAGAATCTTAATCTACATCATTTAGATCATTATTCAAAGTAAGAATGAAAAATTAGTTATTGTAGTTAAGATTAACAAAGCTCAAGCAGAATAAGGAAACCAACCAGCAACTTCAAGTTATTAAGTGTATGTAATTTTATATTTATTACAGTTACACAATTTAAAGAAAGATGAAGGTAAAAACTTTTATCATCATACCTCCATCTATAATATTAAGGAATATTTTAATCTTACTAAATCTCCTATATTTTTGTAAGTTATTCTAAATCTATTGTTTTTTTATTTAGTTTAAGTAACAATTCCAATAAATTAAATGAAATGTAGACAAAAGTACTTTTGACTGATTTCTAAAGAAAAGTTGCTGCATATTTAAAGAAGATTCCAAAACCTAAGAATAATTAAAAATACTATTCTGATATTAAACCCCCTGGATATTAAAAAGAGTATGAAACTTAATAATCCATTTTACATACCCAATAAGAAGAAATGCTTAATCGATCATTATGTTTAAATAAGTACAATTATAAACCAGAATGTATTTATCTTATTGAATTATTTTTAAGTTTCAGATATAGGTATTGAAGTCATTTTGATGGATAGTACTAAATCTTTATCGAAATAAGTTATTCCTAATGATAGAATATAGAATCGATTACTAAAATTTATGGAGAAATACTTAAATGATGAACATATCGATTATGACTTAAAGTAATTTTGCTCTTTTCATTTATATTACGCAGAATGTAGACTATGACTTAACAATATCGTGATATTGTTAAGAAGATCAAAACCAAGGCTTTTAAAATCAAAGTTCCTGATTATTATTCAGTTTAGATGACTGATTTCAATGATTATTATCAAGTCAAAGAAAAAAAGTAAAAAGAATATCTTGAATAATAATTTGATTCTTTAGCTGATTAGATTATTCAATCTATTCAATAAACTAATGATTCTTTATCTTCATAAAGAGAATCATAATAAGATGTTGATTAAATAGTACATTCAACACCTAAATAATAATAAATAGAAATCTAAATACAGAAGGATATAGTTAATGATGAAGATGAGGATGATAAAGTTGATGATATGAAATAATCAAAAAAAATGGGTAAATAAAAAGATTCTAAAAAATTAACTAAGAAATAATCTGTACGAATATAATAATAAAGACCTTCTACTATTTAAAGATAAGAATCTGGTGTTATTTAATAATTAAATGAATAAACCAATTAAAATTAATAAAGAGATTAAAGATAACCTATTCAATAATAAATTGAACCTATTCATGAAGAAGACTTAAAATAAACTATTCAAGAAATTACAGAAGAATTAAAAAAACCTCATAAAAAACATATGACTAAAGCTTAAAGAGAAGAATAAAAGAAGAGAAAAAAGGAAATTTAAAGATTACATGAAGATATTGAAAGAATTAAAAGAGAAAAAGGAGGAGATTTTGATTATGAAAAAAGTGATTCAGATAGTGAAGAAAGATTCAGAAGATAAAAAATTAAAAATTAATTTGATGATATGTTTAAACCTAAACAACTTTCTCGAAGATAATCAGATCCTTTTAATCAAGACGATGAAGAGAATCTCGATTATGCTAGTGAATAAGAAATTGAAGATAGAACTAAAATATAAAGGGTTGAATAAATTATACAATAAATAAGAGATCCTAATTATTAATATAATCCTTAATAATTTTGGTAATAAGAAGTTAAAATCAATATTAAGAAACCTTCACTTCCAAATGTTGTTTCACAATAGAAATAATAAGAATAATTCTTATAATTTCAAAAAGAAAAACTTGAACAATAAATGTAAATGATTAACTAAAAATATTCACAATAACCTAATGATACTCCCTAACAATAATAATTAAATAACCTCTAATAGTAAATACCCAAAAATTAATAATAATAATTAGTTAAAAATGATTAATAGTAAATTCCTCTTTAAAATAGAAATTCCCCATAATAATAACACATGCCTACTCCCTATTTGGATGAAAGAAAAAAACAAAATAATCATTATAGTGTCTAAAAATCCTTCAAAACACCATAATCTATCCCCTCTAAATAAAATAATTAAGATTCATTATAAGGCATACAAGATCATTCATTTAATATTGATAACAAAACAAATTCTCAAGCCTAACTTACTTAATAAAATCAAGAGATATCAATTCATTCTGATTAGAATACAATTTAAAATGAAAATCAATCATAAAATAAAAACCTATAACAAATAGGTTAAACTGATCAAAAACCAAAATAAATAAGTTCTAATAATAAAAAGTAAGATATACCAATTTCAGATAAAAAGGGTAGAACCATTCCATCAATGCGTAAAATAGATTAAGAAGATGATGGCTCAATTACTAAATAAATTGAGGAAAAATTAAATTAAGTTTAATCAACTTTGAATAAAACCAAATTTGGAATGTATGAAAAAATGATGGCAGCATAATCAGTTTACGATGTTGACATTCATGTAATAACTTCTTCTATTATTAAGGAATATAAATTAATAGATTTTCCATTAAGTCAAACTGTATTTCCAAAATTGAATGGGGAAGATGAAAAACAAATCTTTTAATAATTGTATATCTAATTATTATATTCCTTAGGTATGCTTGGTAAAAAGAGGTCTATAAAATAATGCCAATTTTGCATTAAGTGAATAGAAATCTTAATGTATTTATTATATATATATAGATTCCTGATGAAGATGAAGGAGCAGCTTCACAATTAGTTAGTAGTAGTGATGATGAAAATTGATAATATTTTAATTATTAAATATCGTTACTATATTCAAATTAATCTATGTTTAAAAGTTGCTATTATAATTGAATCATCATAATTATTGTAGTCTTAATAAGATCTCGATTCATCTCAATTTTTAAGAATTTTTCTTCAGAAATTAAACTTTTTCCTTAGTGATTAAATTAATAAAATACAGGATTAAGTTTATAAAGACCTAATCTCAAAAGTTATTGAATATTTTATTTATTATCCCTAATAATATAGATGAAAATTTTATTGCTAATTAATTTTTTGGCTTAAGATTTTTATTGGTACAAAATAAAGAGAGTTTTATTTTGATTGAGTAGATGTTAATGAAAAAACAATTAAAAATTTTTTTTCTTCATTATCATATAAAATTTAGTCAAAAACTATTCTGAAAAAGATCCAAATGAGAAAAGAAAAAAGATCACCTCAATTAGAGATATATTTATAGCTTTAGAAAAATTCATAATTCGAAATCATTTAGTGTTAAATGAAACCAAAAATATTTTGTATAATTTCTATATGTGAAAACTACTAATTAAATTAATTTTATTTGTTATTAAATCTATTAAAAGTCTTAAATATCCAATATGATTCACTTACTCATACTAAATCAAAATTCATGTGAATTTTATAAAATCTAAAATATTATCATAATGGGATTAAAATTATTAGAATGCACAGATTTGATTTATTAAAATATGATATATTTTTGTCTTAATAAGAATAAGAAATTTAAAATACTAACTCAAATATTTTTAAATTTTATAGCATTTTCTTATATATAAGATATATTTTGATTAATTTCTAGATATTGAAATGAAGATTTATTATGAGAGAAGAATTTTTAGGTTTTTCAATAAGAATGATAGTTTTAAATAATTTAGCCTTAAAATAATAGTATAATAGTGCAAAGAAGGCATCTAATAAATATAAAAATTGTGATTTGGTAGTAAAGATACATAACTTACAGTTCATCAATTAGTAAAAGATTTAGAGAGAATTTAATTAAGAAAACATGGATGAACCTCATATTTATGAATTGAATGATGAATAACAATTAAATCCATTTCAAAGCACATTTCAGTATAATTACCTAAACTTTTTTTCAATTTGAATAGATAAATTTAATTTAATAAATAATGATAAGTATTTTAAGAAAATAAGTTGAAGATCAATATGTAAAGAGCATAATCATCGATTTTTAGTTTTGTTTTGAAATTTTAGAAGAGAAATATTAACTATGTAGATGATTAATTAGTATTTTTTAGGAATGAATTGATATAGTTGATTAGGACTTGGAAGGATAATTAACAACTGTCAGTCAATAAAGTATTGTTTATAAAAGTTTAGTAAAGTTTGATTAAGATAATAGTTAATTTTAGAATTGAAGATGAGAATATGAGGGTAAATAAGAAAAGTTTAAAAAGTGAAAAAGATGTAGATATCATGAATGATAATATAATAATATTAATTAAAAAATGGAAGAATAAGGTATGCGTCCAGATACATCAAAGTGTTCAAGAATGGAAAAACGTAGATTAGTGTCATAGAGTCATTAAAGACAGGAGTCTAGTCAAGCTTAAAGAATTAATGGAATCACTTTATAATAATACTTCAGAGGAGGCAACTTCAAAGTGCTTGAAATTAATGAGGATGATTGGGATAATTAAAATTAATAACCTGAATAATAGATACCTAAAGCTCCACCTCTTTAAAATAATAATTTTCGTATTAAAACAGATAAGAAAATAAACAACAAAAAACTACTTGAAAGATCTCCTGCTTAAAACTTAACTATGAGTAAGGATTTTAACCAACGTAAAATTAATCGAGTAAGTAAATAAATTGATTATTATGCTAGCCTCATATAACATCTAATGAATTCTTTCAAAATGAAGATGATTTTAGAAAAACAAAGATTGAATTAAAATATGGACGTATGAAAGAGGATGCTATTAATCGCTTTGGTAATCCTGATCAAGAACTATTTAATAAATATGCAGATAAATTTAACATTAATAAGGAACCTCCTAAATTAACACTTGCACCAAGAGAACTATTTACAAAATTTAAATGAATATCAATTCTTTTTTTTATTGTCACTGCAAGTTCGAAATACTTTTATCTTCTAAACTAATAATAATAAGATTATTTTCAATACTTCTAACTTACTTTTATATAAATACAATTCTATTAAATAAGAAATTATCATTTTATTAACATTTATTTACTCTCACTTCAAAATAATATTATCTAAAGTTTGTCTATTCAAATCATTTCCTAATTTTAGATATTCTTATAAGTTATTATTATTCTTTAATAATAAATCATTTTTTTTCAATAATTAATAAATTTATTTAAATTTTAAGAGGATGTCCAATAAAAATTATACAATGATTCATTACCATATTCCATAAGATTTAGATGATCCTGAATAGCCCAATGCTTATACGTATTGAGTATAGGTAAATATTATTAGAATTCAATTGAATATAAAAGACATTACTTATACTGATATTCTTAAAACATTTCCAATCAAGGGACAATTTGATTTTAAATTCCTTTATCAACATTAAAAGGATAATTTTTGGTTAGACATTAAATCTAATGCTACTCCTTTACCAATTGTGAATAAACATATTCATGTGAGAGCTGAACGAATCAAAAAATAATAAGAAACATAGCCTATATAAATTATATAACCAGTATAACAAACCCCATCTGTTTCATAATAAACGAATGATTTAATGTAATTTTGAAAATATTGCATAATATAATCTCAAATTTATGGTATTTTAGACATTTTTCTTGTTTCAAATTTTCTTTATTTTTTTAAAGAAAAATGATTTATTAATAAATCTCAACTTTAATTATTCAAGAATACATGATTGTATTTAATATGATTCCTATACACAAGTATCTAATAAATGAGAGATGAAATTTCTAAATTTCTTATCTAGAATTCAATTATTATACATATAAATATTGCATAATCTAAAATTCTATTGATTTACTAAAATTCTAAAATTATTTTGAACAAGAATCAAATAAATCTTTAAATCTTATTTTCTAAAGATAGAATTTTTGAGATTATGATAAATTATAATAAATAAGGAAATTAATAATTATGATAGTTATTTTTTTATTGTTTAATTTAGGATAAGGGATTTCAATCAATTTATTCAAAAGGCAAAATCTAGTTGAATACAATATGACAGATTTTTAAAACATTTAATTTTACGGGCTAATAAATATAGGTAAACCATCTCAAAAATTTACTGTGTTGTTTGATACTGGATCTGGAGAATTATGGGTTCCTTCTATTGTATGTATAGATTGTCAAGGATATAATAGATTTGATCCTTTTGAATCATAAACAATAAATTAAACAGATTATAAAATAATGATTAAAGTAAAAAATAGTATTAAATTCAGTATGGCGCAGGGAATGTTTATGGTTTAGTAGTAGAAGACTTTGTAGGAATTCCAAATTCAAATATTAGTTCTTTTATGCCGATTATATTAATTTTAAAGGAGGAAATTTCTTTTTTAGTTAGTGATGGAATTATGGGTTTGATGAGAGACTAAAGAATACCAAATATTTTTGATGTTTCATATAAATAAGGAGACCTCAATAATTCTATATTTGTTATATAATTAAATTAGAATCCAATTTAATCTAGAATTTATTATAATATTTCACAAGAGAAATTAAATAATGGTACAACTTGGATAAATTAAACTAATGAGCTTTTTTGGGTAATTTAAATTAATACACTTAGACTTTACCTATTGATGAAATTTAAGTATCAGATTAAATATTCCCTTCATAAAAGTAGTGGAAGTATGCCATTTTAGATTCTGGAACTCCTGCTTTGATTTTAAGTGAAGAAGTTTATGAATATGTTATAAATTAATTGCTTAGAGTTTGCTAAAAAAAATTAGGAATAATATTTTGTCCATGTAATCCAAATGAGTAATAACAATAATTAATGCCTAATATTACCATAATTTCTAATCAAGTTTCCTTTTAAATCTCATACAAAAGCTATATTGCAGATACAAATTTAGAAAATGGTTAATGCCAAATTGCATTAGGTACTACTAGAGATAAGGAGGGTATAAACTTTTTGTTATTTGGATCAACATTTTTTTTTAATTATATTATCATTTTTGATAAAGAAAACAATAGACTTGGATTTTAAAATTCAACTCTAGAAATATGGGATGATGATGAAATTTATTATATTGATAAATTTGTCATTGATTTTACTGGAATATTTTGGTTTTCCGTTGTTTCTTACTTAATTATAATAGGAGGCCTTATTTATTACAATATAGAGTTATCAAAAACTGAAAAAGGGAATCCTCTTGCATTATAATAATCAATTCAATTGTGACAAATATATTTTTTAAATAAATTATATATGTTTGATTATATTAATATTAATAATAAGTTTTTAATTTAAATTAATAGCAGTACCAAAATATTAGCCAATATTTTCATTTAGAATGATATTAAACAAAAAGGATAAAGTCATTGAAAAAATATTTTTTATTAAAAGAAGATTGTAATTTTTTATGGTATTTATTTGATAAAAAATTGATATCTCAATTAATTAAGAAAATGAAAAAAAGTTAACAAGTATCAATAAGCATCTCGAAAGAATATTTATACACTCAAAAATAGAAAATAATTAATATGTGTAAAGTTAATAAAACAGATGTTTTAATTGAAAAGATAATTGGATTGATATTAATTTAAATCAAAGAAAAAGATCTTAAACTATAAATATATAATAAAAGAGATTAATGTAAGATTAAAATAAAAAAATACTTATAAACACGATTTAGAATAATAAAAGATTGTAAATTATATTTTAATTTGCTGAATTATTATTTATTATTTTAATCAATTAATGAAAAAGGTTTTTAGATTAGATGAATCAAGCAATATACAAAATGCTATATTCGTAAATACTATTGAAAATCAAAAGTCTGCTCTTTTAAAATCCATAAATCAAGAATTTTAAGCAAATATCTTTGAAAATATACCAAGAACTTCATCTTTTTCAAAATAACTGAAATAATAATTGAACTAAGATACACTATATCCAATGAAATGTGATAATTAATAATAAATATAAATAAAAAAAATAAAAGGAGATATAAAGTTACCTAAATTTGATGGAGAAATCAAATGGCCATTTTTTAGAATATCTTCAGATGCATAAATAAAGCATTTTTGGAACAGAAGAAATTAATAAGATATGTAAAAAAATTGGTAATACGAGAATTATGCATTTTAAAATATAATGCTTCGAATAGGAAGGAAGAAAAAAAGTGCGAAAGGTTATTATTTTAAATTAACATATTCTGGATTACTAATGTATTTCAAGAAAGTATTGAAATTAAATAATATAGGAATCTGATAATTATCCAAAAGGTTATTTAGAATTGAGTTACTAGAACAGAGTAATTTTGTCATTTTAAAAGACTAAAAGGAATATATAAATACCACTTGTATATATTGAACGTGTAGAGGGTATTGGGATTACAATTTTTGATCATCAAAATCAATTAACTCTTTAATTATTTGAAGTTCTTTAACATTTTTGTTTAATGAAAGGATATGAACATATTTATACAGAAATTGAAACATTAGGAAGTGGAGCATTTGCAACAGTTTATAAAGTGTAAAGAAAAAGTGATGAAGCAATATTTGCAGCAAAAGTTATAACTAGAAACATTTTTGAAGAGAATAAACATAAAGATAAATTTATTGTAAAAATAACATTTATATAATAGTTTAGTAAATGGTTTACAATGAAGTAATTGTATTAAAATAATTTGATCATGTAGGAATAGAAAGAATTTATGAAGTATATTAAGAAAAAGAAAAGTTAGTGATAATAATTGAATATTTTGATGGTGGAACACTTTATTCATATTTTAAATAGAAAGGGAAATTACCTGAAAAAACTATTGCTTATATTTTAAAGGGTATTGGTGATGCTCTATTTGAATTACATTAAAATGGATATGTTCATAGAGATATAAAATTAGAGAATATTATGATAGAATCTAAAGAGACATTTTAAATGAAATTAGTAGATTTTGGTTTTGCTGAAAAAATTAATGAAGAATAATTATCAAGTAAAGCAGGAACACCAGGTTTTTTACCACCTGAAATTTTTAAAGGGTAACCATATACTTAGAAAGGAGATGTATTTAGTTTAGGAGTTGTATTATATATTGTAAAATATAATAAAATCATTTTAGTTAGCTGCTGGATATCCTCCTTTTAGAGGAAAACCAAGTTAGATATAGGTTTTGAATTAAAAATGTTAAATAAATTATGATAAATCTCCTTGGCCTGAAATATCTTAAGATCTTAAATATTTAATTAAGAAAATGTTGGAAGCTAAAGTGGAAGATAGAATATTTATAGGAGAAGTATTAGATTCAGCATTTATAACTCATTATATTAAAACAACATCAGAAACTAATTATAAATCGTATTAAATGTTATCTGGTTTAGATATTGATAAACATAATAAAAAAAATAGTGTTAAAAATTCAGAATCTGCAGGATCAAAATAAAGCAAAGAATTTTAATTAGATTTTTCAGTTCATACAAATGATATTAAGTCTTTATATAAAAAGAATTCAATTAAGACTTTAAAGACTGTTTAATCTTAAAGATCTAGAAGATAATCTATAAAATAATCATAAAATTTATAATAATCTACATCTACTCATAGAAAAGCAGATATTGAAAAATATTAAGAGAAAAGAAAATAAAGTCATCCAGATAGATCAAGTTATTAAAGAGATTCTGAAATTATAAATAGTTCTTTTGGTGAAATTATAAAATAAAATGATAAATGTAAAATGAGATAATCTCAAAATTTATTGACTACATTTATAGATTTTCAAGCACTTTCATAAGATTAGAAAACATTCATAAGAAAATCAGGAAATATATTTAATTAAAATAAAAAACCAGATTTATGAAAAATTTTGATTCATAATTTCATAATCATTAAAATTGTATTAGTTCTTTTAAACATTCATCAATTAAGTATTCTTAAACCATCTATGAAATTTCTATTAAGATTTCAGATTGTTCTTCATCATACATTAACCATCTTTCTTCATTTTAATAAATCTTTTATTATTATTATATATTTAATACTTCTTAATTAAGCATTCTTATCATTCTTTCTTCTTTAATTTAATTTAAATATTCTTGATCTAACATTAAAATTTTTGGAAAAGGAGAATCTGGTTTATCAATTATTAAGCCAACTAAAAATGATGTCCAATCAGTAACTTATTTTATGGCTCCTTAAAATATATCTTAAAGACATTCTCTTTTTTTGTTTCTAAAAAATAATAGATTAAATAAATTTACCTTTATATTAATTCTAAAGGTTATTTAACCCAAGGCAAAGGATAACCATTTAATCCAAATGGTCTATAATAATCCAAAGCCTCATTTAATGCATCATACAAAACTTTATTATGAATATGTTCTAATTCTAATAAAAATCCATCATCTGAAGTTATCTGTTCTTCTTCCATAAGCAAATTCTCCAATTAAGCATATTATTCTGTTGATAATATAGCTTAATTTGAATAATCATCATGTTCACTCGATTAATACTCATCCTCATCATCATAATAATGAATAAATTTTAAAATTTCTTTTGGAGTAAGTCCTAAAGGTGTATTTATTCTTTAAATTAATCCCTCCTTTTTATCTGATTATAATAAAAATTATTCTAATCTACTTAAATAAGTTTTAACTTATTAAATATTTGTTTTGATTCCTTTATATTATTGAAATTTTATTAATGTAGTAATATCTTTATTAACAGTCTTTAATTCTTCATACATATCTTAAATTTCATTTCCAATAATAGAATTAGCAATTAAAATAGAATATGATTAGATTTATGTATCACTATATTCAGGTTCTTTATTAATTAGTGTTGAAACTTTAATAACTTATGATTATTGTATTTTCCCACATTCTAAATTATCACTTGTATATAACATTTCATCATCCCATTCCAAATTTTCATATATTTATTATTGATTATATTATTATTATTAACGAGGAGACGGAGATGGAGATGTTTTTGGAACTTTTCTAATATCTTATGATTCACAAATAGATGAACTAAAATTCATTGTTACTGTATCAAAATTATTCGTTTTAACTATTTTTGATTGAGATCCTGTATTAATTTCTCTTATCAATCTTAAATTACTTACATTTTCACTTGAAAATGATGATGTCAATTATTAATTCTTTAATTTAGACATAAATAACAAATCTTTTTATGTTCTCATAAATGTTTCATATAAACCTTTCCATCCATTTTCTATATTTGATTTTTATTATTTAAAATCTTCTTTTTCTTTTGTAACCCATTTCTCAATCTTAAACTTTTATTTTTCAAAAGTCTTTGGACTGATTTACTTTTATTATAAAGCTTCATGAATATTTTTCATTTCATTTTTATGTCTTTCTTCTATTGCAGTTTCTCTCATTTTTATTAATTTATTCATATTTTCTCTATTCAAGAGTTCTCTAAATTTTTTTGATGCAAAATCATAAAATGGATTTTATTCAAATAAAGAAGCATCCTTATTAGCAGGAGATGATGTCTATGATAATTTAACTAAATTCTCTGATCCCATCACTTATCGAATTTCACTCATTTCTACTGATTATTATTATACTTCTTTTTCTAAATTTTCTTAATTTATTTCTACATCTATTTCTTTTGTGAATTATAAAGTGAATGTCTTTAAATCCTATAAAACTTCCTTAATATTTTATTTAGAACCTTTTCTTTATAATTATGATATATGTTCTAACATTTAATGCCATTATTATTTTTATTTTTCAATTATTATTTTATGAAGAGATTTCTATTAAGATAATTTCTTGATCGATGATACCTTTTAAGAATTGAATTGATCATCATTTTCATCATCCCAATCTAAATAACCTGTAAAAGTATTAAAACCATTTTTATCAATTTTTTTCTGAGAAGACTTATGTCCACTCTATTCCTTTCCAATTTAAACTGATTAACATATAGGTTCTAATTAAGATTGTCTTTAACTTAAATTTGGAGTTAATTGATCTAATTTGATTTCATCATCATCATCAATATAATTTTTATAATATTACAAAATTTGTCTTGTTTTATAACCTCTCCAAACCTTTTGAATAATGATTACTGCCTTAACAATTTAAGCCATTTCTTTTTCAAGATTTCCCAATTCTTGTATTTATTATTCTTCATCTTCATCTAAAGTTGGTTCTGATATAACATTTTATCTTCTAGTACTTTTGTGTATTGAATCCATCTAAGAAATTCCTTCTTAATCACTATCCAATACTAAACCAAAACAACTCTAATTATCTCTTGGTTCTCCATTAATTTATGCATATCTATTGGCTAAATTCTAATATTTAATAATCAATTCTTTTTTCTTTTCAGCCATAGATGATTTGGTTCTTTTCTTTTTATGAAAAGACACAGATCTTTTTTAATGCACTGATGTTGTATGATTTCGATCTATTTTATATTATAAAAATAATTTACATTTAATATACTCGTTTAAATTTTACAAGTTTTATTAAATTTTAGTTTATCTTTCTAATTCTTGTTATTTTTTAAATTGCAATTCAAATTAAACTTGTCTTCTCTTCCATTCTTTGTACATTCTAATTTCATGTAATTGTTGTTCATTAAATTTAGGTTAATAATGTATTTGTTCATCATATTCATTTAGTTTTTATTCTAAAAGTATATTAAATTAATATATTTACTATTTATTATCTATTTAACTTTCTTTTTTGGCATATGATTCAAAAATGAGACTCCTAAAATTTCTCGACGATCTTATTTAGGTTCTTCTACTTTATTCTTCCTGATTTGTTATTAATACAAAAGATTGTCTCTCTTAGCTAATTGAGAAAATATATAATTCTTAAGTCTCTCTTAATTCAATCCCCAAGGAAGAGGAGATTAGTTCACTTATTTTGATTTATTTTATTTCTTTTTCTTCTTTTTTGGTTCTCCATCACATAATTTTTCTCCCTTGCTTTTGGCAGCTCTCTAGTTTATAAATATAACTCTACTTATTCTTATCTAGATTAACATTGATGTTTATGTTGATACCTGACATTTTTTATAAAATATACAATTTGAATTATTAAAATGAAATTTGAAATATTTATATTTTATTATAATATAATATTTTTTTTATTCATTATTGTTTGATTGCATCTACATTTGATTAATAAAGCATAATTTATTCTTAATCGCATTTTTACATGAATTTAAGTATCTTAAGAGAAATGCCTCCTTCCTTAATAGTCATTAAAAAGATAATCATAATAATAATCATATTATATACTAGATTATCATAACCAATAGAACCCATCAAAAAATATGTAATCTTATTTAAGTTATACTCATTGCCATTAATGATAAAATCAACTACTCTATAAATGCTTAATCCAATTATAAAAAGGGATAATATTGTCATTACAATTTTTAATCCAATATATAATTTATTTTCAACTGGTATATTCATTAAAAATGTATAGATTGAAAAAACAAAGGGACTAAATAGAAATACTAAAGCTAATTAATAGTCAAATGTAAAGTAAATGTATGATATAAAGATGGATAATTATATGAAAAAGAACCTTATAACATAATTGAAATAAGTAATCTTTCTATATGCTTCATCTCTATAGAAAATACTTATCAAAGTATGAAAATTCAAAGTTATCAACTTAAATTTTTGGAATGTTGAAAGCCTTTGTATATTGGACTATGATGTTGTGATAGTCTATTCATTTTGATTATGTTTTTCTTTATAAGTGAAGATTTATCCCTTTTTTATTTCAGGAGTCTCACTCTTTTAATTTGCACGAACAATTTCTGATTCAGATTTCTTATGAATATAAACTTTTGCAAATTGAGTATCCTTATAATGAGCATAAAATGTAAGTAATAGAATTAAAGACCCTATTAAAATTAGATATATAAAGAAAAGTTCAGATATTAATAAAGTGTTAGGTGTATTATTGATATTTGAAGTTTGATTTTAATTATTATTAGTTTATTAATTTTATTCATTTTATTAATTTTAATTTTATTCATCTGTTTCATCTTCTTAATCTGTTGGAGTTTCTGTTGAATTTGTATTATTACTAAAAGTACTATTTATTACAATAGTAAATGGATTAAATAATAAAATTTAACATGATATAGCTGTTTTATTAATGAGTGTAGTTTAAATATCTTTGGATGTCCAAATATCAAATAATTTTTAAATACAAATAGTTTAATTATTGGCATATGTGTCATTAACTATAAAAGTATAAGAAAATGGTTGTAACATAATTGCATTTAATTGAGTGTTTTCATCGACAACTCTCAAATAAATGGTTTCAGCTCCAAATGAGTAATTCTTTGGGAAGGTTTCTTCATTTAAATAAGGATTAGCAATAAATTTATTAAAAAAATATTAGAAATTGGATTATTCTTGATTTGATTCTAATAATCTAAAGACTTATTCTTTTTTTAAAATGTTACCAGTTAATTCATTGATAACTTTATAACTGGCTTTTTTGACTTAGAGTATAGCTTAATCATTTTGTATATTGAAACCATCACTATTTAAGATAGTTAAATCAATTAATTAAGTTTTAATGATTTCAATATATTTTAAGAGTTAATCATTTGTTGTATTGAAGTTTTCACTATTTGAAATAAGTGAGGAGAATAGATCAAAATATTTATGATAATTTTTGATATAATTTTATTATTGTAAAGTGGTCTAAGAATCTTATTGGAGTGTTTTGAATTATAAAAGATTTGATTAAATAGTTTTGTTGAAATTGTTAAGAGAATTTAATTAAATTAAAAATTATGATGAGACTTCTTTATCATTAATTAATTAGATCATTTGATTAAGTATAGTATTTTATTAATCAATGGGAAGATCTTCTTATGCTATCAAATCATTTTTTCTAATTAAATCATATTTGAATGATGAATAATTATCCATTTAAATAACTCTGTTGACTATTAAATCTTGAATATAGAGTGTATCTTAGAGATTGTGTGCATCATCAAGAAGTTTACCCATTGAAGATTGATTAATATCAAAATTGTTAGTAATGATGATAGGTGAAGTGATATTAGAGATTCCATTCATTTAATCTTTAATCATAAATAATAGATAGGATGTATAATTAATTGATTGTTGAGGACCTACGTAGGGTAATTAGAATAAGAGAGTATTGTTAGATTGAAAATCTAAGATGTTGATATTGTTAATGAATTTACCAATAGTTAAATCATAATCATAAGTATCTTTATCATTGTAGAATAAGAGTTTGTATTGTAAAGGTAAATCATCATCCTCACAATCAGTAATAGTAATATTAACATAGGTTTTGAATTCATAGATAATTGAATCAGGATTATTGAATATAAGTTAGCAATTATTGGGAGGTAGATTATAAGTTATAACAATACTTCTTAAGGAGGGCATAACAAAAATAGGATTGTAAACTGATATTCTGAGAGTAATTTAATTACTTTGAATAACATTGAGTTTAGTGAAATAATCAATTAATCTAAATTTGAAAGTTAAACTATAAAATTTAAAGGATTTAACAGAAACTTAATCATAAATAATAGTAGCTGAATAAAATAGATTATCTGGATTGGTAGATGTATATTAAAAGGATAATTAAATTTCATCATAATAATTAAATATTGATTGAATGATTTTAGCTTCTTATTTTTCATCACTAGATTATAATTAAGGGACATCAACTTCCACAATCTGAATCATAGATTTACCAGATGCTTATTTATTTCCCTTTTTAGTTTCAGCCTTAAAAACATAGGAGTTATATTGTGTAAGTTCACTTGCCTATATAACAACTGATTTCCCATTAGGATATTTAAGTGAATTACCATATAAATCTAAACAATCAGCACCTTTTAATACATCGAAACATGTCCAAGAAAACTCGTATTAAAATTCATCATTTTCTTTAGGGTCAATATCTTAATCAATAGCTGAAGCATTCAAAATTACTATAGCTACATCTCCTACTTATCTATTACCACCCTTAATCTTTACAACCAAAGTCCCTTCAGCTATTTCTTAATTCATATGTATATTTTTTGATATTGATTATGATGGTACTGTTATTGTAACACTTATATTATTTGATCCTACTTTTAATATATAAGGATCTATTGGAATTTAAATGTCAAATGAAGAACTCATTTATAAAATATATCTCTCACTCTATTCTGATAATAATCTAGAACCTAATGATATTATTATATTAATCTTTTCAGTCATCTCTGAAGTTAAAGTACAATTAGAATAAACAAATGTGAAATTAAGCAACATTGTTTCATATCTATAAAATGTATTCTATTCTTCAGGTTCTTATATACTAATTTAAGCAGGACCTAATGTCTGAATAAAAATAGTATTTTATCCATCTAATCCTAAGAAATTTCTTAATTAAATATTAAATCCAAATGTTGTATATGGTTTTAATATTAATTTAGGTATAGTTATTTAATTATCAAAAGTCTTAGCAGGAGTTATAGAACTTAAAATTGTATTAAGTTCAACATTTACATAATCTACTGGCTAAGTTAATTCCCAACTATATATATTAAAATTTCTATTTCCCGTATTTCCTATGTTGAATTTTATTATTACAGCCTCGCAAGTAGTTTTTGGTTATTAAGCCATAAATGTAATGTATGGTAAATTCTCTTCATTTGATGTTGATGGATCTAATATTAAATTACTCTATTTATATGCAATAAAACTTGATGAACATATTTTCAATTTGAATCCACTTCCAAATGCAAAAGTATGTCCAATATCTATTGTTGCATACTTACCTAATGTTACTATTATTGCATTCTCATCAATACTGCAGGATGCATTTGAACCTAAAGTTGATACAGTTGATGTCTAAAAATATTCATCACAACCTGTTTTAGTTTCATCTACTAAATCTAAAGGTCCACCAAAATCTATCTTTATTTTATTTAAACCAGATTTTAATAAAGAATATGCTACACCCATATCACAATTTGTACAATATACAGATCCTATACTCTTTCTAGAATATCCATCTTTGCAAATACATTTACCAACAAAAGGACCACTCATATTACCTTAACAGCTTAGACATCCATTTGAATCACACTCTACACATTCAAATTAACATTTCAAACATTACCCTTAAAAATCAAAGTAACCAGAAGGACATGTACAATATGGTGCATTCTCTCTTATTCCTGAACATATTACACATTTATCTGCCACATCAACACAAGTTTTACATACAATACTACAACCTTAACAAGTTGGAGTTAAGTCATCAAAAAATCCATCTGGACATATACATGTAGGTAAATTTATTCTCCTATCTGCACATGTTGTACAAACATTATTTTGACAAAATTCACATTTGTAATTACATTTTGGACAATTTAATGAAACACCATCTTCATAATAATAGTCTGGACAACTACAAGTTGAACCATATCTATTTCCTTTACAAGTTTAACAATTATTAGATTGTACTTTGCATGTAGAACATTAATGTTAACATGGTAGACATAGAGGTGCTCCAACATCATAGAATCCTTTTATACAAGTACATTATGGTTTATTTTGTTACCTTGATGGTTAACATGTAAGACAATTAGATGATTGTAATGCACATGTTAGACATTATGGATCGCATGTAATAGGGACTAACAAAAGAGTTTCACATTCTATTCCATTTAATGTATATCCAGGACTACAATCAGTTACGCAACGCATTCTTTCTATACAAGATTAAAAAGTATATGATGTATATGTTCCACTAGGACATGAAGGTATACATTTTTATTAATAGAGATAGGATGTAATTGGACAAGTAACACAATGATTAATTAAAGGACTAAGACATGTTAAACAAGTTTAATGACAAGGTGTACATATTCGACCAGTTGCTGCATAAAATCCTTCTGGACATTCTGGTAAACAATTATTATAATAGAAATAGTAACTATTTGGACAAGTTAAACATTCATCAATATCTGGACCAAAACATGTTTTACAAACTAAATTACATGGTTAACATCTTCTCTAATTATTCTATTTATAAAAACCATCAAAACATTAAGTGTAACATAGACCATTTTAATAGAAATATCCACTTAAACATAAGTGACAAGTACTTTAAATACAGGCTTCACAATTATCAATGCAAAATTCACATTTGAATGTTGTTAGATCTGCTTGGTAAGAGGGAGGACATATATCATAACATTATCCATTTAAAATAAACTTTTATTCACTACATTATGTGCAATCATAAACATTTGTACCTACACAAACATCACAATTAAATGTGCATGATTAACATATTCCATTTACTCCAATTGTTCCAAGTGGACACACAGTATAACATTTTCCCTAATATTGTTACAATCCTCCACTACAAGTTAAACATTAATAATTTTCTCCTCCAGTGCATTCATTACAAGCTTAATTACAATTTAGGCATTTTTAAACAAATTGATTAGGATACATATTAGATGGACAAGTTTCAACACAAAAGTTGTTATATAAAAAAAATCCTGCGATACAAGTTTAACAGATTGTTATTGCTGAACAAAATCGACATCCAGAAAAACATGGTTCACAAAATTTACCAGAAGGATAATATCCTTCTGGTAAATTTTGTAACATATTCCTGTTATAAGTTAAGAATTTAAAACTAACATATAAGTATTATCAGGACATGTTGAACATTATGTAAAAAGCGGATTAGAACATTCTTTACATGTTTGATGACATTTTCTACATGTTCTTGTAGTTAATTCACTATAATATCCAGTATCACAAGGAGATATACATAATTTAGAGATTCTAGACATAAATGTATTAGGTAGACACATTAAACATTATGATTCTGTGCAAGTTTAACATACTGGATCTGAACAAGGAGTACAATCTTTATTTAATCTATAAGTTGAGATAGGACATGATAATAAGCATTAATTGAATAGCAATTCATAACCATCATAACATGTTAAACATTTAGAAGGAGTATCAACACAAGTTTTACAACTTAAATCACATATGACACATAAAGTTCTATCAATAGTTTATTAAATAATAATAAAATTGGATGGACAACTTAGGACTGCTTAATTATCAGGCATTATCATATATGGTTTTTTAAAAGTAATACAATCTCTATCGGTTGGACCAGAACAAGTTAAACAACATGATTAACAATCTATATTAATGTTAAGTTGATATAAATACTTTCACATTTAATAGCTATCTTATTTTCAAATTGATAGGAATAAAGACATGTTGAACATTTAGTATTTATATCGAAACCATATTTACATAATAAACAAGTTCCTTTAGTATCGATTGGATCATATAGACATTTAGCACATCTATAATCGCAAGCTTAATTTAGATATTAAATAAATACGTTTACAAATAAAATTAACTAAATCCTCATAGTATTATTCATTACATTAACAAGTAACTTAATTTCTATTATCTACACTAGAACAAGCATCACAGGTTCCTTCACTATAACAAGATTAACAAAATTAAGGACAATTCTTAGAAATTAATTGAAAGTTTGTAATTCCCATATCTATAGTATCTGTCAATTCTATTGTAATTTATAAATTTGTATTAATATGATCTACTTCATACTCTATAAAATAAACAGAATCCATTCCATTATTACCATATAAATTACCTGCCTATATTCTATTAATAGAAGTTTCTGGTAACACAATTAAACCTGAAGCACCATTAACTTTTATTATAAGATTAGTGGATGTTAATTTTATTTAGGTATCAAATGCATAAATATAGAAACTGAATTTTATCTTATAATGAACTTATAAAGTTTAACTAAATGTTATTATTCCTTAATTCCATCTTCTATATCCTCCTATTATAAAGTTAGCTTTTGTGATTCCAAATGTTAATAAATCATACTTTTAAGATGCTATTGAATTTATTGTACTATAACTAAACCTTCCCAATACTGTGTTAGGATTTTAAACCAATGATGTAAAATAATTATATTACTGATTTGCTACATATATATTTGAAGATCCAACAGATGTACCAATTTCATAAATTAATACTGGACCCACATATATAGTTTTAGTTTTTGCAGCATCATTCAAAGTTGGAATACTGAGAATTAATTTTAATAACTTATCTGAACCACTAGTTATTAATGACGTTTTAAGTGCTACAACCTGAAAAACCATTACTTTTACACTATTCATTATTTTATCAAAATTACTTCGATAATGTACAATACACTTCATTCAGCTATGTTGCTGTTGTTAGAGATTATGTTAATAATGTTGTTGTACCACTCTTTATTACAAAAGAATCTCCCTCCCATGTTCCTGCTACTATAACTTTTATGTATATTTCATGATCATTATTAGTAACAATATATTGATTTGATATTGATTTTGCCAAATGACTACTTATAGTAACAAAAGGTTATTTTAATGATGAACATAATGTTCCTGTCAAACTTAATGCTGCTGAAGTCTCATCAATCCAAGTATGGGCTCCTGTATTAATTATATCCTATTATACTAATTTATATGATTAATTCATCACTACATATATATCTTTCGTACCTATAAACACTTTTGCAAAAAAGAAAACTAAGATCTTCATATTAAAATAAAATATTAATTAAAATCTAATATCTTGATACTCATATTAAAACACTTATTCTCTTTATTATTCATATACCATTAAGTTATTTACAAACTGTAATTAGTCCATCTTCTTTATATCATTCTTAAAATTATTAATTAAATGTATAAAATATTTATTTAACCCTTATCAAAATAAACTTTTATATATAATTTTTTCATTATTTAATCTTTGTTATCAATTTTGACCAATATTTTCATCTAATTCATTTTACAATTCCTATTTTTTTTCTTTAAACATCATTTTTATTATGTCCATATATATTTTAACAAATTTATTAATACAATTGACAAATATGAACCTTTATCAATGATAAACGCTCCTATAAAAATTAGACGCTATAAATTTAATTCATTAACTTGATTTATTAATGTCAAAATCTACTAATATAGTCTAAGAAATAAGAAAATCACACCAAATCATCTGACAGTCCTTGATTTATTATATAAAAATTTTTCTAAAATAATTTAATAAATTTTATTTTCTGTCGGTGTTAGAATAATCTAAGCTATTGTAAATTTTATTATAGCCATCTAATCAATTGAAGCTCTAAGTTCTTTTTATTTTTATTGGGTCAAATTTATATATGAGTATAGAATTTTAGAAACTCACAATAATTTTCTAAAATTTTTACTTAAATACTTTTAAGATCAATATAGTGTTCCTTTACAAAAAATCTTCATTATAAAATTTCTCTGATTTAAGTAATTCCCATAAAGACTTTAAAACCTTATTAAATGATTCTAGTAGATGGTTGAATCTAAGACTAACCAATGATTCAATTTTATCAAGATCAGAGTTTTATATGATTAAAAGTATTTAATCTTAAAAATTCAATTTATATATTTCATTGTATAAACAACTCAAAATATGTTGAATTAAAATCTCTTAAATCTCAATTATCCTTAAAATGTTGTTTATTAAATTTTTAAATTGTTATCCTCACTAATTTCTCAATTAATTTTATTTATAATAATTTTTCAGCCAACTACATATTTAAGTGTTAATTTTTAAATTAATAAAATTTTGAATTCATAATTTAGTACTTTATGTTTTTAAAACTTAATTTTATGTATTGTTTTACTTTTCTAAAATAGTGTATAAAACTAAAGACTTTTTCAAAAATTACAAATTTATTAATAATAATATTAACATCATTATCTGATATCTTCAGGCAAAATTAATATATTAAATAAAATGATTTAAGTCTTATTTAAATAAATCAGGAATTGATTACCATTTTATAAATAAGTTTTAGAACAAAATAGATATGATGATTGTAAAAATTCAATACATAATTATTTTAAATAAATATATAATAGATAAAAAAAAAATTTCAAAGATAAGCTTAATAAAGATAAAATATTGAGCATAAGTAGATTTTTGAATTTAGCCCTTCATTAAAAAATAATAAAATTCTAGAAAATAGTGAATAAGTTATATTTTTGATGTTTTCTAAGATTTAAGAAAGTCATTTAAACTTAAGAAGGTAATAATTGTAATATATGGCTAATCACATAATCTAATAAGGTTAGATAGAGTATTAGATATAATATAATAAATTGAAATGAATAAAACCCATCATTTCTTAAATATATAAATACAGATAATAAGCTCAGTAATAATTACAAGTAAAACATAACTAAAAATTAATCTTGTATATTCATCAATTATCTTTAATTAGATTTATCTAATTTAAACGATTTTTATATGATATCATAATGTAGAACTAATCATTCTTGCCAATTAATATGAAAGTATTAAGCATAAATGATATAATATTCTTTAAGTAAAATTTTGTAGATGCTAGGATATTAAAAATAAATGTAGAAATGTAAAAAAAAAGAATTTTCAAATATGATTAATCTTTGATAACATATATAGACTGAATTAAAGATGACATTTTTGAATTAAAAATATTTATTAAGCAAATGAAAGACAATAATAAAACAAAAATACCCCTATTTGAATTATCAACTGGCCTTTCCTTAGATTCTTCATTAGTGGAACCATCTAAATAGAGGATGTATGATAATCTAGAGATGTTTAGAAAAGAATATTAGAGGCAAGTTTAGAGAAAAATGGGCTAAAAAAAATAAATAAAAAAACGATAAGGAAGAAAGTCTCGAGATTTCACTACATAAGAGGATTAACAGCTTTTAAGTTTAATACTATTGTTTGGACCAAAGTTTAAAACTATTTCAAGAAAGATGTCTGGTCGCCCTTTAAATATTCTTAAAAATCGATACTATAGGGATTTAAGATACAGATGGAGTGAGTTAATGGGAGAGTAATTCTTATTATAATAATAATATAGGGAATATGCTTATTTGAATGAAAAAAAAGAAGATCTAACTTTGGATTCGATTTGGAAAAATACTTCCCTTGATTCTGATCTTTCAAATATAATGAAAAATATGGTAATGCAATTACAAAATGTGATTAAATAATGCTTGGATGGAAAAGTCCTATGACTTGATGATTAATTTATTATTATAGTAAAAACTCTTCTATTTTACATTTTATCAGGTTTTCACAAATAAATAATATTGCATCATATTTAAATATTTCGAATTTTTTTATAATTTGTTAAATATTTTCAAAATATAATCTGAATTTTTTTATTCTTTGTTAATTATCATATATTAACTCAAAACTGAAATAATTTTATTACTTAATCAAAACCTAACATAAAATATTAACTTCAAATTTATTTGGGGAATTGAATTTCTATTAATTTAAATTAATGAGAAATTTCAAATTTTATGATTTAATAATAATGGAAATCCTGTTTATTTTGTAAATCAAGATGATCAATATTAAATTGGCTTATTTAGGAATTAACTGCTAGTATCCTTAATAATTATATTTCAAACACAGTTCTTTTCATCAAAGTTTATATTTAATTTGTATTTCATTTTAATTATAAATAAGTAAATCTTGGAAAAAAGAAAATACAGAAATTGGATAAATAATTTACTGTTAGCAATTCTTTTTATGAATTCACAAAATCCTTTTACTTTTTGAATAATTTATAGTAATTAATTAATTTTTAGCCTAAATTAAATACAATTAAGACATATTAGATAAAGAATTTTAAAAATATATTTTTAGCTGATTTAGATATATTTCTTTAGTGTCTTTAATAAATTGAAGAAATTTAATTAAAATTAATTAAGTAAAAATAAATAATTATTTTCTGATTGGTGAATGATATTAAAAATAAAAGAATAGACAAAAATTAAATTATAGGATATAAAAATAAATAACTTTTAAAATTTGCAAAAGATTGTATAAACTATGGTTAATTTACAATCATAACTACAAATTTTCATATTTATTTATTTTGTCATAAATTAATTTGGTTTAAATATGAAATGAAGAGAGTTTAAATTTAAATTTTAGAAATTAATGATAATGATTAAATTTCCTGTTTTCTAATATCACAATTAAAGCTCAGGTACTCAATAAAATGTTTTTTCTGATTAAAAAAGAATATCTGGAATTAAATTAAGTTATAAAGTATAAAATTTTTATAGAAATTAAATTCCAAATAAAAGATAGAAGGATTTCTACTTATTCTGATTTAATAATAATTAGAAATTCATTAATTTATTTTCGTTTAAAAAATAGATGATGAAGATCATATTTTATATGGTATTTATTTTTTAGTAACTACATCTTCTTTGTGGTAAGATAAATATTAATTTAGAATGCAAATATCTAGTTGTAACAGATATTACAAATGAAAGTGCTGTAAGTTTATGGTCAGATGAAACTTAAAGCCTCCCTAAATCGTATTGTTCGAACATGTTATCAGAAAATTACATAGGTTAAGATACTAGTTAAAACTAAATATATTGGATGAGAACATATTCTTTACCTAAAACTAATAAGGTTTATGTATATTTTGAGTTTTCTTTATCTGGGAATTGGAATGATGAGGAAATTCAAATATATGCTAATGATTAAAAAGTTTACTCAGAAAAATTCATACTCACAGATACCAGTCGAGATTGTAATTAAAGGTATAAATTTTGATTGAAGCATAGATTTCTTTATGAATCCTAAGTATATTTTGTAATAAAAATGAGATTGGAATCATTAAAATTAGAAATAAAAGTCAGTAAGATTAATTTAGGGATTTATATAAAAAATTTAATTTTATCATAATAATAATAAAGAGGGAGAAATGAAATTCTTGAAATTATAGATTATATACCCGCATGTAATACTAATCATAAATTTGAACAATATTATTGCAAATGCTCAGATAATTTTGTTTATTAATCTAATTCCTGCATAGAAACTTGTAGTTAAAATTATTTGTTTTAAGCATCTGAAAAAATGTGTTTTCTAAAAGATTATTGTTCTGCATGTATAGGTGCTTAAACAACATTAATTTGTAATACAGGATATTATAAATATTATGAATCTGATATTAAGTAATCAAATTGTGTTAAGAAATGCCCAAATAATTTTTATTAAGATGAAATAGCAAAAGCATGTTCAAATATGAAATCCTATCTTTAAACTAATTAAAATGGAGGATGTAAATTTTTAATATAAAATTTTAGAGTAGGTTAATCATTATTATTTTTTTAAAACTATTTAAGAATTTATGCACTATTATAAATCTATTCATTTTCTGACAACTGTTGTATCAGTTCCAGAAAAAATAAAAGAAAGAAGTTTTTTTTATAATGGTGGAAGATTTACTGTAGGTTCATTCGATACATTTTAATCATAAAAGGTGTAGATCACATAAAACATTAAGAATTCTTAACATAAAATACGTTTCAGAGCAATAGCTTATTTTATTGATTTTAATCCTACAAAATTTGACATCACTATTAATGGTGTAAAGTAAACAGCTGTAACTTTAACAATTAACAATGAAAATAGATTATAATCAACAAAATCAGATTATATAGCTTATTTAGATTACACTTGGGTAAGAACAGAATTATATCCATTAACTTAAAATACTTTTCTTTTTGAAATAGAATAACCACAATAAGGTGGAAATTATATTGGAATCTTTTATTTAGATGATATTAATGTTTATCAATTTCAATGTTAAGCTGGATGTAGTAGCTGTTTTACATACTCTATTTGCACTCCTTGTATTTATCCAGCAAATAAAGATCCTGCTGATTGTTCATGTTTAACAGGATATTTGATGAAGGATAATTAGTGTCTAGGTATTATATAATTTGAATATAGCTTGTCCAACTTATTGTACTATGTGTATAACAGCTGGAGTATGTGTAGATTGTTTAGTATCAACAAAAAGAATTAATTCTCCAATTTGTGATTAATGTCCTATAAATTATTATTTAGAAAATGGAAATGTAAATTGTTAACCTTGTTAAACTGGATGTCATTAATGTATAATTGGAACTTCTTGTGTTTAATGTGCAAATGGATATTTTAGAAATCAAACTAATTAATGTATAACATAATGTCCAGATGGATAGTTTAATGATTCTAGCAATGTAAATGATCCTAAATGTAGTATTTGTGATACTAACTGCAAAAATTGTCAAACATTAGCAACAACTTGTACTGCATGTAAGGGATTAGCTATTCTTGTATCAGGACATTGTTATTTATGTACTGAAGGTCAATATTTATCAGATACTACTTGTGTACCATGTATAAATAATTGTTAAAAATGTTCTACTATCACTTGCACAACTTGTTAAGATTCTTTTTATTATAAATCATCAACTAATGAATGCCTTACTATTTGTGATCCAGGATATTTTGCTAATACATTTACATAAACATGTGATTAATGTCATTCTAGTTGTTTAACATGCTTAGCTGGTACAACTGATGGTTGTCTTACATGTCCATCAGGAAAAGTGCTTAATGTCCAAAATATCATAAGTGGAGAATGTTTCAGTAACTGCTTACTTGGATTCTATAAAGTAGATGATATTTGTGTCAAATGTTGGAAAGGTTGTTCTGCATGTATTGATTCAACCTAAGGTTGTTTAACATGTGCAAGTAAATTTTATAGATTGAGAACTACTGGTTGGTGTTATTAAACATGTCCTGATGGATATTATAATAATAAAATAGGTTATGTTTGTTCTCCTTGTAATTCTTCTTGTAAGACTTGTAATGGATTTTTTGAGGAAAATTGTCTATCTTGTAATCCTCCTTTAGCTTATTTTGAAAATTAATGCTTGATAGAATGTTATGATGGTTATGGTAGCTTCAACAATATCTGTGAACCATGTGCAGCAAATTGTAAAAAATGTTTTGGTACATAACCAAATTAATGTTTTNGTTTTACATACTCTATTTGCACTCCTTGTATTTATCCAGCAAATAAAGATCCTGCTGATTGTTCATGTTTAACAGGATATTTGATGAAGGATAATTAGTGTCTAGGTATTATATAATTTGAATATAGCTTGTCCAACTTATTGTACTATGTGTATAACAGCTGGAGTATGTGTAGATTGTTTAGTATCAACAAAAAGAATTAATTCTCCAATTTGTGATTAATGTCCTATAAATTATTATTTAGAAAATGGAAATGTAAATTGTTAACCTTGTTAAACTGGATGTCATTAATGTATAATTGGAACTTCTTGTGTTTAATGTGCAAATGGATATTTTAGAAATCAAACTAATTAATGTATAACATAATGTCCAGATGGATAGTTTAATGATTCTAGCAATGTAAATGATCCTAAATGTAGTATTTGTGATACTAACTGCAAAAATTGTCAAACATTAGCAACAACTTGTACTGCATGTAAGGGATTAGCTATTCTTGTATCAGGACATTGTTATTTATGTACTGAAGGTCAATATTTATCAGATACTACTTGTGTACCATGTATAAATAATTGTTAAAAATGTTCTACTATCACTTGCACAACTTGTTAAGATTCTTTTTATTATAAATCATCAACTAATGAATGCCTTACTATTTGTGATCCAGGATATTTTGCTAATACATTTACATAAACATGTGATTAATGTCATTCTAGTTGTTTAACATGCTTAGCTGGTACAACTGATGGTTGTCTTACATGTCCATCAGGAAAAGTGCTTAATGTCCAAAATATCATAAGTGGAGAATGTTTCAGTAACTGCTTACTTGGATTCTATAAAGTAGATGATATTTGTGTCAAATGTTGGAAAGGTTGTTCTGCATGTATTGATTCAACCTAAGGTTGTTTAACATGTGCAAGTAAATTTTATAGATTGAGAACTACTGGTTGGTGTTATTAAACATGTCCTGATGGATATTATAATAATAAAATAGGTTATGTTTGTTCTCCTTGTAATTCTTCTTGTAAGACTTGTAATGGATTTTTTGAGGAAAATTGTCTATCTTGTAATCCTCCTTTAGCTTATTTTGAAAATTAATGCTTGATAGAATGTTATGATGGTTATGGTAGCTTCAACAATATCTGTGAACCATGTGCAGCAAATTGTAAAAAATGTTTTGGTACATAACCAAATTAATGTTTTCAGTGCATGATAGGATTTTATACTCTTAATAATTAATGCTATTTAAAATGTCCTAAATCATTCATTGGAATTAGACCTTAATATATTTGTAAATGCATTTATGAAAATTGTATAAATTGCACTGCATCTTAATTTTTCTTGAATAACTAATGTTATTCTATTTGTCCAACTGGTTATTTTGGATATAATGGATTATGTATATAATGTTATCCAACTTGTGGAACTTGTTTTGGAGAAAGAATAGATGAATGTAGTACATGTAATAGTGGCTTAATTTTTTATAAAAATACTTGTATAACAGATTGTTTAGGAAATCTTTATCATGATGTTTTAAATAATGCATGTAAGAGCTGTCACATTGAATGTATTGCATGTACAGGACCTAATAATGATAATTGTACAGCTTGTCCTGACGATAAATTATTAACTATCTATAATTAATGTTAAGATTAATGTACAGATGGTTCATACCCTATTTTAAATGAAAAACGATGTTATTTATGTCATGCAACTTGTAAAACTTGTTTTGGACCTTCTGATGAATTTTGTTTAACTTGTACAAACTTATTCTAAGCAAATAAATGTGTTGATAGTTGTTCATCCGGATTTACATTAAATGCTATTGGTACAGTTTGTGATTCAGATTTTCCTCTTATTATTGGGACATGTTCATATTAATGTAAAACATGTGAATTAGCTCCAAGATTTTGTAAAGTATGTGGAGGAAATCGTACTCCAAATCCCCCTAATTGTAATTGTGAAGCTGGTTATTTTGATGATGGAATCAATGTTAATTGTCCTAAATGTACAAACAAATGTTTAACATGTAAAGGATTAGCTAATTTTTGTCTTAAATGTAAAGGTGATAGACTATTACCTTAATGTATTTGTCCTGAATTGTATTATGATGATGGAGAATCAGTTAATTGTATTAAATGTTAAGATAATTGTAAAACTTGTGATGAAAATGGATGTACATCATGTTTAGGAGATAGAATTAATAATCCGATTTGTGAATGTCCTAATGGTTATTTTGATTCTTATCAAACCTATTGTTAAGAATGTGCTAAAAAATGTGTTACATGCAGTGGAACAGCAGAACTTTGTGATATTTGCTCAGGTTTAAGAGATTATGCACCTATTTGCTTATGTCCAGATGGTTATTTTGAAAATTCTGATGAAGAATGTTAACAATGTGATTCAACCTGTAAAGATTGTAACCAATATGGATGTTTATCTTGTTTTGGAAATAGAGTAGGACCTAATAATGGGGAATGTAAATGTGATAAAAAAGGAATTAGCAGATTTAGTATTGGATCTGCCTATTGTACTGATTGTTCATTAGGAGTACCATATTTTGGATTAAATGAAGAATTTACTGGATTTTATTTTGATTTTGGAGGATCTGCTACCTATGAAAATGTATAAGGTACTACTGATAAATGTGAAGCTTTCTTTGAAATAGAAACACTTCAAAAATTAGGCACTAAACCTACCTGTAATTCAGACTTCTCTGTTATCTTTGGAGATAATGCAAATATTAAAGTTGGTGATACTATCAAACTAAAACCATCTTTTATGTTAACAGGATGCATTTATAAATTTAAATAGATTCTTTCAATGCCTCTTTTAATTCCATCTACTATTGATCTAAATACCCATAAACCAAAGGTTAAATTTAATGATTTAAGTTCCCTAAATATTTGCTCAAATGTGGTTATTAAATTTGAAGAATTAATTTATAATGGAAAACAAAATTTTAAAATAATTTAATGGAATTAATATGTCCCATCAACAATTGATCCATAAATCTAAACTATAATAAATGCTCATACTCTTAATCAAAGTGATTTTCTGATTTTTCCACCAAAAGTTTTTTAAACTAATGTTAGATATAAATTTGGTGTTACCATTGAAAGCTTCGCTAAATTATAAAATACAATTTATTGTTAATTTTAAGCATCTCTATAATCAAAAATTAATTTTTATCCAACTTCCAATATTAATCAATCTCATAGATATGATCCAATTTCACTTTAATCTCAGATTTCCTATTCAAATTGTATTGACATGATTTATCCAGAACAAAAATTATTCTATGAAATAAAATTGAAAAACACGAAACAATAATTATTAAATGGAACATTGACAGAAAATTTAAAAGATGGGTTTGTCTTTGATGTTCCTCTTAATTTCAAAGAATATTATTTTAATTTTACTAATCCTTATATTTTAATTTTCAATACTTTACTAACCAGACCTGATTATACTGTTATTAATTCATAAACCTTTGAAATATACATTGTTCCATCAATTCCAATAATTACAATAATTGATGGTAATAGAATGATTGGTTTTACAGAAACCTTAATTTTAAATACTACAATTACAGATAAAGATTTAACATCAGAAGAATAATCTAAAATGAATTATGAATGTAATTGGAGTTGTTAAGATATTGTTAATGGAACTGCTTGTGTTAATACTTAAAATTAGATAATTATTTTCGACAAGAGTTGTAACCAATATTTGCCTCCTCGTACTTTTGCTCCATATTAAGTATTTAACTTTGAAGTAGGGATATTAAAAGAAGAAGTTTTTTATTCAACTAAAATTTCAATATAATTAACTGAAACAGATTTACCTGCCTTAATAGTATCAGGAGCTAATGAATTAGAGTCTCATAATTATTATGATGAATTTATTTTTAAATTAATATATCCTGAAATTAATCCTGATGCATTAACATATGCAGGAGCAGTAATTTACGACTCAGTTGTTTAGGCTACATTCTAATTTTATTATTTGGAGTTTAAATTCAAAGTCTAAGACTATTTTACTAATTTTCAAGATTAATTAGGAACAGGTGTGAAATTAAGACTTTCAGTTTATGATCCACGTTTTATATTACCATCTTTAAATACACAAATTTTAACAATGAATATTCCACCAAACAATTGTGTTTTGGATATAAATTAAAATTAAGGATTTGTTGAATTCATTGAATTCCTTTATGTGTAAATTCTTAATTGTACAGATAGTGATATCCCTCTTTGGTATAGTGTTTGGGTATTTCCAAATGAATCAATTTATTAATAGGATCTAGTTTAATCTAAATTTTATAATTACATCTAGGTTTAACCATATTAATAAACAAATAAATTCAAGTTTTATTTACCATATTTTAATGATAAGAAGCAGCTTCTTGTGTTCAACATCTTGGATAATAATGGAGGAGTTATTAATATAACATAAACATTTGAAGTTAAATAATATTTATAGATTGATGAAACTACTTTTAGAAATTACGAGAAGTAAATAATTGGTTTAGATCAATAATTAATTGGATATAATTTAATCACTGAAAGATTAAAGACATTAAATGGGTTATCTGAATACAAAGAAGAGATATTTTATAAATTATTGACTTTTGATAAAAACTAAGCACTTCTTGGTAATTAATCAGAAAGTTTATAAAGATCTATATCTAAATTATTGAGTATGAATTCAACTCTATTAAATTTAAATGAATCTTTGTTACTCAATTAGATAAATTAAAAAAGAACTTAAGCTTTTTCATAATTGATGATATTTTTTAATTTATAAAAGAAAAATGAATTAACTTCAGCCTAAAATATTGAAAAAATGTATTTAATTTCCAAATACTATACATTTATAGATATATTATCATCTTGTCTTAATAATAGAATTCAAAAAAACTAAACATCAGTTGATATTTAAAATGAACTTTAATAAATGCAATCTGATTTATAGACAATAAGTGTAGCTAATGAACCACTCTATAAAATTTAAACAAAATCAGCAAATTTTAATTTTGGATTTCTTACAACAAAAAAATTAGAAGAAATAACAGGATCTAAAACAATTACTTAAAATACTTAGTTGGATGAAGAGAGTAACTAATAAAATAATGATTTGAATACTTCTACAAATTTCTATAAATTTTCCCTGATTAGATATATTGATAATCCATTCTATGCTAATAAGAACTTTCCAAAGAATAGTAGTGGATATTAAGCAGTAGATACAAAAATCATGGCAGAAAATTAAACTAAGATTTAAAAATTAAATCCTTAAATGAAATTCAAATTTCCAACAACAAAAAAATTAGAAAATAATAAATCATTAAAATGTATAATTGAAATTAAAAGTGAAGAATGGAATGCAGATGTTTGTAATACTGTAGAAAAAGATGGAGAAACTACATGTTAATGTGAATCATTAAATCCAACTTCTGTAATGGAATCTTATAATTTTATTGCTGATAAAACTACTAAGGTTTTTTCTTTAGATACTTTATTGGCTTTTTAATCATTTCCATTTTATAAAACAATTGTTTTTTATCTTTATATTGGAATAACAGTTGTTTATTTATTAGTTGTTTATTGGGGTGTTAAAGTTGATAATGAAATGCTTAATAAAATACATGCAGAATAAGAATTAGCAGAATAAAAATTAAAAGAGCAAAAATTAAAATTAGAGAATATTGAAAGTGATCCATAAATTAAAGAAATCAATGATAACAAGTTAGATTCTGATTCTTTTTAATAACTTGAAGAAGTTAAAGATTTTGATACACCACAAATTTCTTCTCTACCAAAATTAGAAAGAAATATATTTAGTAATCCTAAGTCTTATAAAAAAGTAATACTTGGTAATCGAGTTTCGATGATTCATTCTCCTTAAGAATTAATACTTAAGCAATCTCCTAAGTCAAAACGTGATTATTAAATTATCTTAAATCTATAAAATATTGATGATTCAGATAAATAATTGAGCAATAAATAAAAAGAACATTAATAACAATAAGATTAAATGCAATAACCAAAAGGTTTAAAGAATTTAATGATTAAACATTTAATTTCTAGAATTAAAGCTTATATTGAATATCTTAAGTTTTTTCATCAGTTATTACAGATTATTTATAAATCAGATCCAAAAAAACCTCGTGGATTAAGAGCATCAATTGTTTATACAAGTATTTTGGGTAGTTTGGCTGTTTTATTTATATTTAATTAACCCAATAATCTTAGCTTTACAGTTACATTAGCATTGATAACTGCTCCTGTTAATAAGATATATTAAATTATTTTAGAAAAAACACTCTCTCATAAAAAGAAGATTGTTAGATAGATTGGAGCAGTTTTTATGATAATAAGTGCTGGTCTTATTTCTTATGTTATGTTAGCAGGTTTGGTTATGATGGATTCAGTTGAAACTTCAAATTAATGGAGTTATATCTTTTTCTTAACTTTTACTTTGGATAATTTATTTTATTCACCAATTACTTTAATTTTCTAATATGCAATACATATGGAAATCATCAAGATACCCATTCTTTCTTAGTTATTTGATAAGATTCTTGATGAAGCAGCCAAGGAATTTTTGTATGGTTTAATAGATGAGTTAGGAAGACAAGAATGATAAAATTATTAATTTAGTATTTTACAATAGTAATCAATTTTTATATACATTATTATTATAAGAATTACACAATAATAATAAATAACTTTTTTATTAATATTTTTTATAAAACTCAAAAGAAAAAGTTCTTAATTGATTATGGTACAAATTTCCAAAACTTTGCAGTTGGTTTCGAAGGAGCACCTTCATGTGTCAAATATCTTCTTTCATCAACAAAGTCATAGATTAAATTTAAAGCTTATTCTTTTTCATCCATTTGATTTAAAGAATGTCTAATTAATCCGAGAACAATCTATTAGACTTCGTAATCATAATAGATTTTACTATAACTATCATTTTCTTAACAATATATACCAGTTTTTTTAAATCTTTCATTTTTACCTTAATATATATATATATCATTTTTACATAGTTCTAACATTCTCCAATGATTACCATCTGTTTATAGCATTCTTACACTATTTAATTTTTAAACTTAAGAATTGGTTAATGCCCATAATCCTGCAGCAACAGTCTCAGTTATTAACATTTCTCTTTCTTTTGCGACTAAAGTGAATGCATTAATTGGTTTAGATCTTAACACTGGAATTATTGGATATTTATTCACTTTATTATATATTAAAAATGGAACCGTTCCATAAAAAGGACAACTAATATTATATATGTTTATATATGTACTAGGGATTGGATTCGCATTTATAATCATAGTAGTAATCAAAATCTGTATTTTTAAGTGCTTCAAATAGAAATGTATCAATAAGTTCAGAATAATGTTGATCTTCCATAATTGTAAGTCTTTGAAAATATTTCATCTTCTTTAAAAATTCAGGTGATTATTCAATTTTCTAGATTTTAGGAGTCCATCTAAATGGACTATTTAAATCCATGTTAAAACTTAAACCTAAAATATTTAGATAATTTATACCTGCTTAATATGCAACAAATGGTACATCTGCTTGAGCAAAGGATCGATTGCAAAAAGTTTATTTTGTGAAATTAAAACAAATTTTCATTTAATTAATTATGAAGTAGAATATTATAGGTTCAAAAATGATAAACTAAGGAATTACAAAATTCTTTACCCTGTATAGTAAAAATATCAATACCTTAATCACTTTCTTTAATATTGGAAAGGGTGAGTTCAGAACCATTTTAGATTAGATTAAATCTTCTTATATATTTATTTGCAGGATTATTAAATAATTTATTTTAAGTAAGGGTATTAAAAGTTTTATGATAGGACTCTCTAGATTTGCTTGTTCAATTATTTAGAGATTATGCAAAAATACTATTTCTTACAACATCACTCATTCCAATAAGGTTTACGATATGATAATGAAAAAAAAAGATTTAAAGGAATTCGAAATCTTTTTTGAGAAGAGAGTTAAGATTTTAAGTAATATTATACATTCCAACTTCTTTAATGATAAGTTGATAGAAGAAGCAAAGTTAAAAGAGTTAATCTTATCCAATAAGACATCAGAATACATTGAAGATTTGATTAAATAAAAGAGATATTTCACAGCATATCGATTCATGAATGCCTTGCAATATGAAAGTGTTTCTTATTAAGTATTAATAATATAAATAAGGAACTTATTCATGCAATGAGTAATAACGAAATGAAATTACAAAGCAAGATTATTAAAGAATAACATTTAGATTTTTAAAATAATTAAAAGGTTTTAAATCACATAAATGGTGAATCCTTAAGATTTTTTATATTTGTATTAAGATATTTAATTTTAGAGGGCAGATATACCTATAGAAAAAGTAGAAGAATTATTTTTAGGCGATGAAAAAAAATTATAATTCTTGGTTGAGAATTATTTTAGTACGAATAAACAAGTAGCTATTCAAATAGCTAAAAGAAATAATATTAAAGTGTAAAATATTTAAAGATAGAAAGAGATTGATGAATGCATAAATGTTGAATAAAATATACTATTGTAAAATGATGATTTCTGTATAAAGTATTATATAATATATAGTACCATCTGAGATGATATTAAAAACAAAGAGGATTGATCAATTAATACTTTTAAAAGATTTAAACATTTCTAGAGAAGATGTTTATGAGATTGAGAATGAAGATTAGTTGAATGATTAAATTGTGAATGAAATATTAGAAGCAAAATAAACTGGAATTGATTCTGAAAGCTATTTAGAAATTCCATAAACTAAATTTTCATCTAGAAATAAAGTTTGTTTATTTTAAATAGCTTTGCCAAAAAAGATTTTCTTGTTAAATAGTACAAATTTAAAAAAGAGTAAAAAATATCAAGAATTTCTTGTGAAATATACAACTAGTGATGCATTGAAGATTGGATAAAATATTCAATAGGATTTATAATCATTATTAGGGTAGATTGGAAATTATAATGTTGAATTGAAAAATGTTATTGAGTTATAATAATTATTTAGGATGAAATTTCCAAATGAAAAGAAAACTAATTTATCATTTTAATGTTCTAAGCTTTTTGGAAAAGAATTAGACAAAGTAGAATAAATTTCAAATTGGCAATAAAGACCTTTAAGGAATGCTTAAATACATTATGCAGCATTGGATGCTTTCATTTGTTTACATCTATATAATCACTATAAATAATGACTTTTGTAAATATTGTTTTTAATAATATTCAATAAATTGATGAATATGAAAATTATATAATAAATTTAAATATTCATCTGGTAATATTTGAGGAGAAAGAATAAAATTTATTTTAATTCTGATAAACATATAATCGTTGGAAAAGTGTGAAAGATCTTAATCCATTAAATTATGAATAATTAATTATACGATACACTTGAATTAGGTAACAAGAGGAATTAAACAAGGTTGCTTGAATAGATTCATGAGTTATCAATTCAATAGAAAAAGCTACTCTTAATAAATATTCTAAAATGTCCTATTTAGGAGAGAAAATAGGAAATTTTATAGATGATGAGGATTCTAATGTAGAATATTGATTTATTCTAATAATTTCAAAAAGACTAAAATGAATTAGAAGCATATGATTATTGTTTACTTCATTTGCAATATGACACATTTGAAAAAGTAATATGAAAGTTTTAAGTTATTTAAAGAATACTGTGATATATGAAATCGGTGATTAAGCTAATAGTGTTTACATGGTCATATAAGGCTAAGTCTCTTTGTATTTATAAGAAGATATATCAAACATGATGAAATCAAGACAGTAATCTTTAAGTTTAGATAATCAGAAAAAGAGTTAGCAAATAACTAAATTGAAATATTCAGATCATACTATAAAAAGGTATGTTTAGATATAAACTATTATTAGTTTGATACATTTTAATGAAATAAAGGAATGGAAAATCTTTGGAGAATAACTTGAAAAAAAAAGAATGAATACAGCTATTTGTGATATGGATTGTTCTTTAGGAATTCTCACTAAAGAATAGTATTAAAAAGCAATATAAATTATGGACAAAAAAAATGAATAAAAAAGAATGAAGACTTTTACTCTGAGTCCTAGTTTTTAAGGATTAAATAAAAGATTGCTAAAATTAATGTTATCAACTTTCTCTACTTAAGATTATAAATTTAGAGATATCATTTATAAAAAAGGCTAATTGGATTCAGATATTATTTACATCATAAAATAAGGAGAATTTGTAGCATACCTATAAAACTAAAATGTGAGAAAATAATTAACAATTATGACTTAAGGTGAATTTTTTGGAGATTTTGAAGCTTTTGAAAAAGTTCCACGATAATTCTATGTTTCTTGTAATTCTCATCTAGGTAGCTTAATTATCATACCTATCTAAATATTATATTAAAAATTGTCATAATACAATGAATAACATTATTTAAAACAACTCAAAAATTTGTGTATTAAAAAAAATAAATGGTACAAACAACTTTAACTGGACATTGAAAAAACTCAAGGAATTTATTAGAAATATTTAACTGTATAAGACTTAAAAAATGGAATTGAAAACGATTCATCTTAAAAAATACAATAAGTCTCTGATGCATAATCATAATTAAGTCCCATAAGATTATTAAAAAATACATTGAATTATTTAACATCAATTGAAGATTGTTAAATAGATAATAATAATAATAATAATAATAATAATACTAATAATAAATAACTAACTTAAAATGAAAATTAAAAAAAAAATAAATCAAAAAACAAAAATTATATTTATATTGCATCCCCTGATAAATTGTAACCATTACCAAAAATATAATTGGTTTCAAGTAAACAACAAGATAGAAATTAATTATCAACACCAGATCGATTCAATTAAGCTATACAAAGCAAATTGAATGTCCTAAAAAGAATGAATAATCTTTCTCCTACAGATACTATTAATTTAAATACTCTTCATTAAAAAACTTATTATGTTTAATTACCAAAGTAAATAAAGCTAGAGTAACATACAGATAAAGAATGGCCAATCAAAGCTACACTATATTTAAATGATTTAGATGACAAAGTTCGTTATTAATCATAGAACCATCATCATAGTAATAGTAATAGTAATCGTAATACTAAACTCAAATTACCAGAGTAATTAAGTTTAAGATGTGATTAAAGTGAATTAACTTCGTAAAGAAATTCAAAGATTGAAATTTTAAATAATATTTTATAGTATAAAGTTCCAAATTTATCAAAAGTTTAAAAAAGGAGAGCATTGTCATTTAAATATAGGGAATATATAGAACAATAAAAAACTGAACGCTCTTTATTATTTTTTTGAAAGAATCATGTTGATAATGTAAATATATGATTATTATATAAACATGAAAAAATCATTTCTCAAATAAGTTAAATTGTCTAAAGTTTTTCTATAATTTCTTCATTCTAGGTTTCTTAGATAATTTGCATTAATTAATTAAATTTTTATTGATGAAGAATGGCCAACTTTTCTTAATCTTTTTATGCTTATCTTAAAACATGATTTTCTTTGGACAAAGTCTTATACATCTGTTAAATATTATCACTAAAATGAAAAAATTGCATAATACTAAGTAGATTAACATTGAGGATGTATTTAATAAGTATCATTTGATTCTAATGAGTAATAGAGGAAATATTCTTTCCAAAATGTGATGGATTTACCACTAAATTATTCTGGAATGATAACATCTTAATCAATAGATTATGGATTTTTATAGAAAGCATTAAGATATTTATCTTTTTGTTTTATAATCCATGACCAGATGGATACAGTTTATTCCATAATTCTTTGTTTTTGAATTTCCTAATGTAAATAAAAAGTGATACCAAAAAGGAGTCGCATAAGAATGTTCCAAATAAAGATGTTAAATGATGATAAGCTAAATCAAATAATAACTTTTAATTGAATTCAAATGATAATGGATATAATTGTTACATTTGATAAACACAATCTAAGAATTATAAAAAGATAGGTGATCTTGAATCATCATTATTTTATTTATTGCCAATAGCAGATCTTTGACAGAATTGATGTCCAGTATTGATCCATTCCTTTTAAACTAAAACCATGAATCCTTCAATTGTTCTATAATATCCATCAATCATAATAGAGACTAGAGCAGTTAACTATGCTGTTCTATCCCAGCCATCACTACAATGAACTAATACATTGATTTTCTCTTTAGTCATTGTTATAGCTATTCGTGCTGATCCTCTAATGATTGCAACAATATGATCATACCAAAAAGATTATTCTAATTATGTTAGGAATTGAGTGTTTTCACTAATAAATAGATCTATAAATAATACCTAAATGCTGCTTTTAACAATTTTGTTTAAGAATCTCTAACTTTATGAATATTGTGAATATCTAAAAAGTCTATGCTGCACTTTCTATAAAACATAATATTCTCATAACCTTTTCCAGCTACTTATTATCCAAAAGCATTAATATGTGGTCTAGCATCATAAATTCTTAAACGAATTTCTTTATCTTCATATTGACTTTCTTATTCATCTACTGTCTAATATGACATGTATTTTAAATAACATTCATCTTCTGTAGATCTATTTTATCCTATTCCTGTTCTACATTGTGAACTTCTCCACATTGATATCACTTTTCCATTTACTTAAAATGCATATGATAAAATTGGTATTCTTTCTTTAGATCTAAATTTTGCAGTCTTTTGTATACAATCTAAATCTGCTTTGGCTGGTACTATTAATCTATTATAATATGTAGAACAAATAATTCCATTCTCATTATTTACATATTTAAATAATCCATTCTATATTTGAGAATTTTCTTATAATATATTGATTCCCATTCTCTCAAAATCCTTTTCTATATTATATATTTTCCATCCTTAAAAATCATTTTCTAATTACGACTATTCTTTATAAAATGTAAATGCAAATAAGGTAGATTTATTCAATGTAAATGCATTTTTATTAATTACATTAAATATACTATTACAATCATCATTTTATTCTTTTAAAAACTTATATTTGAATCCTCTTCCATCTTTACATGAAATTTCAATAAAATTTGCATCATTTTATTTCCTATCCATAGTTTTTTCAACTTTAATAAGAAGTGTATAAGGGATGTGAAAGTAATCTTTTCTAAAATCTTTTGGAAATTTATCAGGTAAAAATAGAATCTATTAATTTAATGAAATAAATACTTAATAATTAGTGGCTATAATAGTTCCTTAGAATGATTAAGTGGGAATAAAACATTATCCTCGTATTTCCTGTAAAGCTATTTCTCCAGGCTATACAATTTCCAATCCTATACTCTTAATGTCACGAGTTTAATATATTTACACAGTATTGATTTATATAAAGTCTGATTCAACCTAATCTGTTGTTTATCTTTAACCTTATTAAGTTGGTTATTGTTAGGGTAAATTATTTCTAAAGAACAATTTCTAATATTGTAATATCAAATTACTCTTGGGGCATCTAACATCTAACCTATTGATCCAAACACTGATTATGGTTATTGATTAAGCTGTTGTTATTACTAATAGGCAGATTATTATTGTTGATTATTTGTCTATTAACTATTATTAATTATTCCTGCTGATTAAGCTAACACTATTAATATTATTCAATTCATTTTACTTCTTTCCTCCTCTTAGAGTTGTTTTTCAAACTCTTTTGCTCTATTATTTTTTTAATTATTATTCTAAGCTTGTTAATCAGGTTTAGATGTTGAGCGTCCAAGTGGATTGTTCATTTAATTAATTATTTATTTTTATGAAAAAGGGTTTTAACATTGAGTATAACTTTACAACTATTTAAATATGGGAAGATTCCATTGAAGCTCTTCAATTATATGATCATAACAATGTACATATAGTTAATATCATTTAGAAATAAATTCAAATCAAACCACAAAATTTAATTGAGTATGTTCTTAATACTATTGAACTTATGGCTTAAGTGAAAGGTTACAATTAGGATAGCTTCATTATTGCATTAATTAATTATTGTGTAATGTGTTTATTTTACAATTTCATAGGATAGATCAAAAAAGAAATCAAAACCATTTATGACAGGTTTTATTAATTCATTTAAAGATCAAATTAATGAACCAGAATTGGCATATTTTACATAATTATTAGATCCAAATAAGTTAATTGATAAAACACCTGCAATGTTTAAATTCTATCTAAAAGTTCGAAAATACATTTATGCAAATTATGTTAATCCTAGAGAATCCTACATTAAACCCATTAAATTTGATGATTGGGTAACTGTTGTATCTAAGTTTCTTGATAATGCAGCCATACCTATTATAGGCAATAGAATAAGAGATGAATTGAATAACAATAACACAGATAAAGTTTTCAAAAATACGTATGATTATATTGCATTTACTTAAGATTAGTATATAACCAATAGAATTATTGATTTTTTGTTATGAAGTTTATGAGAAATAATAATTAGAATAAGGCTAAAAAATAAATTAACAATCCATCTAAAAGGAAGAGTCTTTTGTTGAATAATAACAAAAACGTTAAACTGCTTAATAATTGGCTTATAAGATGATTATGCCTTATAATTCACAAAAAACTTAAGAGGATAAACACAATGATACATAAAAAAAAGCTAAGTTTATTGAAGTCATAAAAATTCATGAAAATTTAGCTTATAATTATAAAATATTGGCTTAAAATGTTTCAGATACTTAAGAGATTGTTAATCAATTAATATAAAAGGTACTTTATTTATATAAAAGATAGAATAAAGATTTTGATTTTGATGATGATTTCATATAGTAATTGGAGTAAGTAGTAAATTTTAAATCTTATTGCAAGAACGATGCAATAAAAGAGTTAGAAGATTCAAATATATATGATTTAGTATGAAAATAATAATGAAATACAAATAATTGAAATGGATATTTGAAAATTTAAATTAATTTTTATATATATTCATGTATCTGTATTCAGAATCAAAATGTTTGACAGCAAGATTCTGCTGGTTCTTCATAATTAGAATTATATTATTTCCAATTTTCTACAATAAATACTTGATTAAAGTTAGTTGAAATGCGAAGACGCTTTAACTTGGAAACACTGTTTTTACCTTATTTTTTAAGTATACTTTTAAGGTTCTAACTTTTTTGACTTGAGATAACAAGATTTTCTTAATTATGTGGAGCTTCTTCAAATTAATCATAATCAGGAGGTATAAGAGATCTTGTTCTAAGGGAGTCGATTGCATGCACTTTCTATGACATTGTAAAGTTGTTGTATTGAGAATTAGAGATAATGAAAAATATTAAATTTTAATAAAATGAAGGGAAGAATGAACTCTTAAGGTAGCAAAGTAAAAATTAATTATAAAAAGTAGAGTAATAAGAGATAATTAGAAATGGAAAGGTTAGTTGAGAGACCAGAAATAGGAATAGCTACTTTGAGTTAAATGTTTAAAAATTATTCATAATAATTGGGAGGTTTAGAAGATGGTAAATAAATAAAAATAATGATACATAGGGAAGATAACAAAATTATAATATAGAAAGTTCTTGATAATTGAATAAATAAGTTTTATATTGAATTCTTTAGGACTAGGATTAAGTATATTATAATATGATCTTGAATTTCAAGAGGAGAGTTGGATATCAATTTGGTTATTATGGATGATTCTAATCTTTACAATATTATTATTGATTATTACGGTATTTCGATATGAATAATAAATGAATTGGTTAAAATCAAGGAAATAAATATACAGCAATGATAAATTGTGGTAAACTAATTTATGGTATCCTATGTTAACAGAATTAGCAATATATCTTATAATTCCATATCCATTTTTAAGAGGAATAAGAGTCTACTTTTACAATTATTTATAAGATGCTACTGCATATTATCATGTTAATGAAATTCTAGAATTGTTTATGTTATCAAGAACATTATTTCTATTTAGAAGTCTTTTAACTTAGACATTTTGGTATGGTAATAGAACTTAAAGAGTATGTAATTTATATGCATGTGATGGCAATTATATGTTTGTTGCCAAATCTTTAATGCGAACTACTCCATATTCAGCTTAATTTATAGCACTCACATCTTTAATATTAATTTTTGCTTAAGCGGTAAGAATTAGTGAGAATCCGTTGACTAGAAATGATCCAAATAATAATAATCTAGGTAAATATGATAATGCAGTATGGAATATTATTATATCTATTACTACAGTTGGATATGGAGACTTTTATACTAGAACGGATTTAGGAAGATTTGTTATTTTTATTGTTTGTGTACTTGGAATCTTTGTTATCTCAGTCATGGTTGTTACTTTGATTACTTCATTAGAAACTTCAACTTTAGAGTCTCATGCAATTACTGTTTTAGAAAGAATTTAATTTAGAGAATAAATGATCAATTCAGCTTCTATGGTAATTATGTACTCATTAAAAATTGTTGCTGAACTCAAGTAGATATTCATTTTATCTCTTTTATAGGAAAAGTAATATGACCAAATTTCAATTTAAATAATTGATTCTCAATCTAAAATATCATTTAAATGAATTTAAAATAATTAGAAGGTTATATAGAAACAAACAAGATGTTGGCAATATTAATGAAGAAATTACAAATCAATTTAGTCTCTTAAGATCCGATTTTACTGGGGCTATTGAAAAATAAAAATCTATTTTTATTTAAAATGCAGATATTATGAATAAACTAGGATTAGAAACTAAACAAATTTAATTATGATATTTTATTTCTATTTCTATTTAATTAATAAATAAATGATACATTTATTTAAAAAGTAAAATAAAATATTTGAATAAACTTTATTATTTCTAAAAATTATACCATGATTTCTATTCTATTCAAAAATATAATTCTGTTCAAATTATGTTTATAAATTCTTTTATAAGAAGGTAGTTCTAATTTAATACTTAATTGAAAAATTGAAAAAACTTAAAAGCATTATATTAAACATTATTCCTATTCAGTGATTAAGTTTATTTGAGGTTATAAAAAGATGATTGTTAATTTAAAGAAGATACTCGATAATTAATTGTTTTAATAAATTTATTTATTTATTAGAAAAAAATAAATTATACTCAAATTATCTGTATTTATTTTTACATAAGTTTTAGCCTTGGGAAATTAAAATAAAAATCGAAAATTCCTGAATTGACTTATGAAGTAGATTCAGTTTTTGATAAGTTTATAGGAAATTGAAGTATTACATTAGTTTATATAACTTCAGATGAGGAAGATATGTTATATATCAATTGGATTGTCTATGGTTAGAGTAAGTTCAAAGGAGTATAAATTAGTCAATAAATTTTAGATTCACAAATAAGCACTTATTTATATAATAAATAAACTTAAATTTGAATACTTCATAATAATCAGAATAGAAAGGTAATATTGATAAATTTATACTAGATAAAATATTAACAAAAATCAGTAAACTTAAGTTGTTGTTGGTCTGTCTAATTCTTTATATAGTTTCTATTGTTAGTTTCTCACTTACTTATTCCTAATACTATTAATTGTCTCTCGCTAATAAATATAATTTAAGATAAATACTTAATATTCATTAATTAAGATTGTTTCAGATCCTATTATACTTTCTCTAATTTATACAGAGCCAATCTATTCAATCAATCGTTCATCTCTAGTAAATAAAACAGTTGTTTTATTATTTCCTGTTATACCTCTAGGAGTTTGGGTTAGAGTAGACAAATTCAGATATCCCTGAATATGAAAATAAAGCTTACTTAATAGATTATATAATCATCCATTGAAATTTCACATTCTTTAACTCCTCTAACAGGTGTTTTACTATAATTATAAAAGGATATAGCAGACACTTATTGAGGAGTATCAAATAATAAAATCAATTTATTAACTTAATAGTTAACATTATCAAAAACACTAGAATTAATATTAGTTTGTAATCTATTAGTATATGAATTAACAAATGGAGATAACCATATTTATTTAGCATCTAAAGTAACATTACAGTTATTAAGTAATTTATCTGGTGTTCTTACATCCATTTCCATTTCTGGTAATTCTTTAATTGAATATGGTTTTGCATATAATTTAGGTATAATTAAATCTCCATTAGGATCAAATAATTCAATTCCATTTAATCCAATGTAATGTAAATCACCCCAAGTTGATATTAATTTTATTGTAATCTTAGTGCCTTAAGGTAATTATGCAGTCTCATAATCCCAATAAATACTCTTTTCAAATTAATAATTAGCTAATATTGTTTTTATATTTTATTAATATGGAAGATCTATAACCTATGGTTCATTAGCATCACTTAATCCATGTCCCTTTCTTAAAAAGATTCCTTATATTGTATTCAATATCTAATCATCTCCTTCAATATTTATTAATTATACTCCTTTCTCTAATTCATCCTCTTTATTGAAATTCCATATCAAAATTCTACTTATTTATATTGCTTATGGAAATGAAAATTAAATCTTTATTTATCCATTATGAAATTGCCATCTCTCATCACTGTTCATAATTGTTTCGGATTAATATGTTATAACTTTATATTTTTTTATTTTCAATGATTATCCATATTTATCGTGAATCTCTATTTTATCTAATCCAACATATTTATCCCCCCAATTTTTCAAAATATATATAGTTAGTGTTTTCATTGTAACAGTAGGTAATGTATTGACAATAGATACAAATGGCTTCTTCAATATATATTTATCAGATCCTTATTTTGTTAAAATAGCATTATTCTATTTCTATTTCAGAAAAGTGGCAGTATCAGGTCTACTTAATTTTATTGTATTTTCTAATATCTATTTTTATTATTGAATCTATGTCTCATGCAAAGTGTTTAACCAATCTGATTATGATATCTTATCAAGAATTTATTAATTGTTTGTAAACATTATATACTCTGCATTATCACTATTACATGTAGCATTTGCTTATTTAATTTCATCATTGAATATAGCGTCTACAGAATCAGATGAATCCATTCCAATTAATATTTCCATCTTTCTTACTCCTTTATTCCTATATGTTCTTCCTTTATTGTAATTCCATATTCTAATCATAGCTATCTTAGTTTCCTTAAATTTCAATTTAATCTCCATATTCTTCTCAATCCTTTCTAAACACATACATTTCTCATCTTATGTAAGATAATTATCATCAAACAGAACATTAGCATTCTTAAAAAAACCATTCACTTCTGTTATTTTTACTTTATTCCCTAAATAATCAAATATTTCTATTCCTGTTAATCCTATATGAAACATATCTCCCCAATTTTTCAATAACTTAAATATTAGCAAATTTCCTATTGGACAATCAGGAATTGTTATTCCTTTTTTTCTTTATTTCATAAATCCAGCTGCTATTTGGGCAACTCCTTTTTTTATATTCGTATTCGTTGAGTCTTCCTCAGTTAATTATTTTTGTGGGAATAAATTCATAGGATTTTTAAATAATCTTTTCTAACTAATCTATTATTTAGCAGATTAAGGTTCAGGCTATTTGATTCTTTTATCATCATCAAAAGGATTCTTCATCATCTTTGGTTTTGGATGTTTAAATTAATTTGATGCTTTTGATTGATTTATACTATTTCATATTTACAAATAAATTTACATATTATCATCTGACTATTTAGTGACTATTGATTACATTGATTAATAAAAGGGTTGAGAAATTTCTTTATTTGTATTATTAAATTTTAATTCCAAAACGTCTGCATATTCAGTATAAGTATTGCCTACTCCCCTTTTTAATTAACCTTACCATACCTATTATTCATTTTGAATTATTTCTATATTTTATACACATTTATCCAATTCTTTTCTATTTTTGTTAAAATTCCATATTTTGACATGAGTAAGTAAATCAGTATCTTCTACATAGAAAAGTGTAATTGTTATAGGGAATTATTTATAATTAGTTATCCACATATATTCTTAGTTAATAATTAAATTATGTCCATTAATGAGATTTGTAATAGTGTTATTAGAATCATCATCTGAAATAATAGACGTGATTTTAATTAAATTTGTTTATTAACTTAGTAATTCAATACCTGTTAATCCTACTTAGGTATTATTACCATAATTAGACAAAATTCTTAATTGTATTCTTTTAGTTTTGTTATTTTTAAAAAATTAGATTAGTTCTTCATGTTTTTACTCTCCATTTTCGATCTACCCCAATATTAGTTTCACATACTCTTATTCTTTTTGAGGTAACTTTTAAATTCTAGAAAGTTCTTGTTACTAATATACCTTAATTCGAGGTTATTTAATATTTATCTCTCTACAGTCGATATTTGGGTTCTGGAATTAAGTAATTAGTTATTAGATTAAGTTTGCTGATTTCTTAGATTAAATTTCTCTCCTTAACGTATAGATCGATTTAACATGGCAGCATGTTTTGTATCCATTGATTTGAGGAATGACATAATCGTGTTATCAGGATTGATATCTTTAGGAGTCATTCTTGAAGAAGCTGAGACTTGACGAGTTAATTAAGGTTTCTGGTATTGTAATCGTGAAACACTCATTATTATTTATTAAGTATTTTGTATTCTTTACATCCACACCCCTCTATATTCATATTCACAAATTTAATTAATGGGTGAGATTGTCCCTAACTAACTCTTTGTCGCTGGATACAGTCGCAGCAAAGTGACTGATGAAAGAGATGTTAGAGAAATCTTTAGAAAATTTGGCTCAGTCAAAGATGTTGCTTATAAAGGCTCATATTCTTTCGTTGTACTCTATCCATCTTATCAGACTTTCAATAGCGAGACTGAAGCTCAAGAGGCACTTAAAGAGACCAATGGAATGACATACAATGGTCAGAAACTCAAAGTGGATATTGTAGATAATCGCAAAAGTAGAAAAACTGGACCTTCAGATGGTGATTTGTGTTTCAAATGCAATAAAGGAGGGCATTGGTATAAATGTTTATTTATACTTAAAAGGGCTAGAGATTGTCCTAATGGCAGATCACCTCGTAGAAGTAGAAGATATTCAAATTCTAGATCTAGGTAATTAGTTATATTTTATTCTAGACGTCATCGAAGGAGATCTGATTCTCGTTCATATTCTTCATATTCTTCATCTAGATCAAGAAGAAGAAACAGATATTACAGAAACAAACACAGACATAGTCGAAGTCCAAAGAGATAAGAGAAGCCAAAAAGGAGAAGCATTAGCAGAAAAAGATCACCATCTGAATCCTAATCATCAAAACGAGGAAACTCAGACTCAAAGTCTTGAATAAGAATGGGAAAAAACACATTTTATTCATCAAAACATTTTAGCATTATATAATTGTAATAGTTAGTTACTCTTCTATGTACAAAAATTGATCACTACAATTTTACACCTTTAACAATTCCAGATTTAATAGCTCCTTCTCCAACATAATTAGAAATAACAGGACTACATAAATTGTCAGAATTACTTCTTAATATATTTATTCTAACTCTTTAATTTGTAGAGTGCTTTTTCATACTTCAACTTATGTTTAACTCTTGAATTCTTAATTCTATTTCCTCTTCTTCTTCTCATCAATGAAATATTCTAAGATTAAACAAAAAATAAATACTTTCAACATAACATAAGTAATTTTTCTAGGATCATCTTCACCAACCTAATGTAATTTTTATAATTTATTTAATTTCTAGAAATTCTCCAATCTCTCTACTTTCTTTTCATCTTTCTTTTATTTCTTTTTATCCTTAATCCTATTTAAATTTTCTTAATATATTTCATCAATTCCTCCTTCATTCAATTAATCATCTACATCATTCATTGCATCTAACATGTCTTCTGAATTTACTGATATTTTTGATTCTCCAGTATCTATAATATCCTTATTTTAATTTTTCTAATGACTTTTATCAACATCTTCTAATAATTTCTTTATTTTTGAAATCTTTTTCTCATCTACATCTTCTCTATTATTATTATTATAAATAGTCTTTAATTTTCTTTTTAAACTTAAAGTATCTTATCCTTCTTCTTATTTCTTATTTTCTTCTTTTCTCTTAACCTCCTTCTTTTTTTCAGACTCAACCTTTTATTTCTAATCTACATTCATCTATATTAATTAAGCATATTTCTCATAATTCTCACTCTCCTCTATTAATTCTTTTATATCATTAATCTTTTTAAAAATTGGATGATTTTAACTTAATCTTGTTCTTGCTCTTAAATGTAAATAAAACCATAATAAACCAAAATAACTTTACATTAACTCAATTCTAATTGTTTAATATTTTTTTATCTCTATTCCTTATTCCTTTTTACAATTCCTCTTTAATATTTTCATCTCCTTTCCAACCTTTATAACTTCTTTTAAAATCCCTTTCAATTCAGGCCAACCTTTTAATATTACACTATTTAATTCTTTTATATCCATCTTTTCTATTATTTCAGGTTCTATACCAATTTCCTCACTTAAACATTGTAATCCAATCAAATTATACTCACTTGATTATTTACTCTTTTTCTATTCTATTTCCTACTCTACTTCATCTACTTACACATCCCATATATCAGCATCCTTAATCTTCTTTGCTGCTTATAATTACAATGCTTTTGCTTCCATTTCTTCTTCTAATTCAGCATCTGAATCTCCTGACTCAGCATCTTCCTTATAATATTTTGCTTTATTCTTTCCCCAATTCTCTATAACATTAAACTATCTTTTTTACATTTCTCTTGTGCAAATGCATTTATTCTTTCCTTTTTATTCTGACTAAGATATTTCTAATTTACTCCTTACTCTTCTTCTTCACTTTGCACACCACTTATAATTGATGATATATCAGACATTAATTAATTTTAATTAAAAAATTAAGAAATTTATTATTAATATCAATCAATATCAATACTCTATACTAAATTCATATCATTAAGAGATTCAATTAAATGAATTTTAATATTATTTGAGATCAATCTTATTAATTTCAAATATTCTTTAATGCACTTAAAGATATATATCGAAAAATATTATCATTTGATCTTACAATTATAGAATTTTATAATTGAAGAAAAACTTATAGAAAAGTCTCAAATTTATATCAAATAAACTTTGAGAATTATTGTTTTATCTTTGGAACTAAAGTATATTGAATAAATTTAGTTAAATAAACAAAATTTCATGCTTAAAATAAATTATGAATTATATTATTATTATTATATCCTTTTAATTCAGCTTAGAAATTAAATAAGAATGAAAATCATTACAATAATAATTATAATCTTAGATACAATTTTGATTCAATATTACAACATAATAATTTTGATTTTTCTTCTTCAGAAGAGCTATATGATCTTTTTTCTTAGGATTTTAAATTTAGTTTAAAAAAACACATTATTTTTTATAAAAAATACAAAATATCCTAATTTAACTACTAAATCTCAGAAGAATAAAACTTGAAATTTTGAGTAAATTCAATCATGAAATAGTTCTATAAAGATGCATATTTTCTTCGTAAAATAATACAATTATAAGATTTCATATTAAAAATTTTAATATAAAAAATCATAATTCATGTTAAGATTTAGAAGAGAAAATTCTGTTCAATAGATTTAATTATGGTCTACTTTATAGAAAACTTCTACCCTGAGACTTAATTGAACGAGGATTTTTCTGAGATGCTATAGTTTATATTTTATTTTAGGGTGGCATTAATAAGGCCCTTAATATTTTTTTACTTTTTTCTGGAGATGAAATATTATTTATTGCATCAATGTCTAAAGAATTCTATTTTTTAAAAGTGATTCTTGGAAAAAGTAATCTCTGCTATATTCCCAAAAGAGATAATTATTATTTTTATATTGTGTTTTATTACACTGGTTGTTATTATGAGTCGAAATGAAAAGAGAAATTTTTATCTCTTGTTAGATTTAATAGATTTGGCTAACTATTTGACTTTAAATTGAGATTTTGGTTTATATTGATATTTTGTACTTCTACCTTTTCGTTTTAAGGATTGAGCTTTTTCAGGTTTCTTCTATGAAAACTAAATCCTGGAGGTATATAAAATTATGCCGTTTATTGCATTGGAGTCAAAGTATCATTCGATATCATCATATATATTTTTTTAAATTATTAATAAATGAATTATATTATATAATTAATACAATCTGAAAACTAATTTTAATCAAAAAATCTTGTATAGATAGCAATGAGATTATCTTCTGGGATCATAATCAACTTAAATATCCTAATTAGTTTGATCTAAATTATGGTTTCATTTTTATTATTATTTTCATCTTATTGAATATTTTAAGGTTCTTCTTATTATAAGTTGAATTATTCTATTTATTATAATTATTAATCTAATTATTATGACTATTATTCCAATTCGTCTATATTATAATTCTGATTATTCTATTTATTATTATCAATAATAAATTCAAATGTATCTTCTTGTTATTCCAATTCTTTAATAATTATTATGATAATTAATACTGATTAATATATTATACGAAAGAATCCTTATCTTTTAATCTATATCTTAAAGGTTCATCTTTTAATCGTAATATTAATTAATTTTGTCTAACCAGATAATTTGATTTTAGTTTCATAAATATTTCTATTTTCAAAATCTTGTTGGATATTATTCTTAAAATATGATATTAGAATTCTTTTTTGATGAGAAGAGTGACTAGCAAAAATGAGTGATTTAGCAACTTGATTAATTTCTTTATATAATAACCACATTATAATGGATCTAAAGTACCTTTATCAAATGCAAAATAAAATTGTTTATTTTGAAATCTCATAGAGGTTGCATCCATATCAATAAATTGTAAATGCATATTTTATTCAATAGCAGATTCTTAAAATCTATCAACAATAGTTTTATAAATATAGATAGATACAATATTATGCTAACTTAATAATATTTAAATAATTGAAATACTAATCTTTATACATTTATTCAGATAGAGCAGAATTTCGATTAAGATTGAGTTCTCTTGACTTATATTTTATTGAGTTTATTCAAGATAGAATTAAAGTTAAGGTCATTTAACATACCAATCAAATCTAAGTTTATGTTGTTTGTATCTCTCTTCCAAAAATTAATCTTTAGCATACTCTTCTCTTGAATCTATAATTATTATTATAATCTTCTGATATTTATTAATCTCTTATTTGTTTTCATACTCTTAAGAATGCTTTAAGAAATGGTTTTTTCTTATAATACATTTCTGGGTTTGGATTATAATTTATGATGAATTATGATAAATAGTTATCATATTAATAATTAATTAATTTAAACCCATAAAGAAATAGAGATATTCTAAGTAATAGAAATAAGAGTAAAGAAAAGAATAAGATTAGAATCATAATCTCTGAGACAATACTCTAATTATGGTTATTGTCATCAATATTATGATAAATAGATAAATGGTTTAACTTGGAAGCTTATACTGTTTAATAGTATATGCTTTGTTTCAATATTCCAATATTATTTTTAAATTCATTATAATTTTTATCTAATGAAATAGAATGTTTAAATTTAAAGATTTTAAAAAAATAAGGAAGTAATAGTAATAAATGATGATGATGATGATGAACCTAAAATGTAGATTTTGTTATAAGTATAATTTAAGTTTTAAGAAAATAAAAAATGATGAAGATGATTGTGTAATGAATGTAGATATAATTCCATGGATGAGTAAGAAAACTATGATGATAAGACATCCAGTATTGAGATTACATAATGAAATGATGGAGTTTTTTGATTACATATCTCCATCTGATTCAGAACATAAAAGAAGAATTACAGCTTATATGAGAGTAGAGAAATATTTATAAGATTTGGCTCCAGAAGCTTAGATTGAATCATTTGATACTTTTAAAACTAGAATGTATTTACCAAATGCAGATATTGATATCGTTATGATAGAAACATCATGCACATAAAAATAATTATATAAAAAGGTTGCAGCTTAAATGATTAAATAAACTAATAAATTTGAAAATGTTAATCTTATTGCAAATGCTAAAGTTCCTATTATTAAGTTTATTGATGTTGAATCTTAATATCACTTTGATTTATCATTCAATTAATTAGATGCATTAAAATAAATTGAAGAATTAGAAAAAGCTTTTGAAATTTATCCAGAATTAAAAATTCTATTAATGACCTTAAAATGTATGTTAAGATAAAGAGATTTAAATGAAACATATAGTGGAGGTGTTGGATCATTCTTATTATTTTAAATGATATTAACTTTTCTAAGAGAATATCGTAAAGATTTCTTTCAAAATAATTAACAAGATCAAATAAAAAATGTGACTTTAGGAGAATACATGATCAAATTTCTTGAATTCTATAGTGATGTCTAAAGAAAGAGAATTGCTGGTTAAGGTGGGAATATTGATAATAAATCTACCTAAGATGATAGATTTTCATTTATTAGTCCTCAACATCCTGATCATGATATTGGTCATAATAGTTATAAAATATAGGAATTATTTAAGATATTCTAAAATAGACATGATTTCTTAACCAATTACAATTTTAAACCTGGAGAGTCTGTACTTAGATACTTAATCAATCCAACAGATTAGAAGTTTTCATTTCTTAAACCAGTTTAATTTTGAAATTAATTTTCATTTTATTGTTAAATACAATCTAAAATTATACAAAAACACTCTTCCTCTCTTGTCTCCCAAAATCAATATGCTTTATGGAATATTTATATTTATTGCAGTTATTTCATCTATCTCTAATAATTTAATCTTCAATAACAATTCATTTGATTTTATTTGATACAAACAAAAGTAATCAGGTTTACAGATAAATATTAAATGATCAAAATCCAATTATAAAATGTGTAATATTTTTGATTTTGATAATTTCATACTTCTTAATATTTTACTCTTATTATTACATATCATAATTTTACCATATTCTGTTCCAAAGAAATTAAGATTCTTTTCATATTCTGAACAACTTAAATTATTCAACTTTCTCAGATGAATTTTTGAACTCTTTGAAATTGACCATCTTACTGTATACCCAGAACAATCTGTTGATATTAGAATGTCAGAATCAATCTACTTTAAATTTAATAACATATTCTTATGATATTTAAATTTTTGTGAATATTGATTTATATCTAAATTGTAACATAAGATATCGTGATTTTATCTTTAACCTCCTGGACTGAAAATACTATTCTTATAAAAAATAGCCTATCTACTATAAGCAAGAGTATTTATCTCCTGATGTAATTACAACACTTAATTATTATTATTTATGTCTATGTTAAATATTGAATATTTTTAGTCATCTCCACAACTCAATATATATTCTTATTCATTATATTTAAAATATGTAATAGCTCTAATCCATGATTAGTGTACATCTTTTATTTTTTATATTTATTATAGATTTTTATTCCAAATAGAAATCGATTTATCAAAACTACTCACTAATATTTTATCTTTAATGTGTAAAACCTTACTTACAACTTAATTATCACTAGCAATTACTTTTTAATAATCACTAAAAGATGTACTAAAATCATATATGATACTTAGCTTTTTCTAATTTACAAAATTATCAACTGCAAATAATTATTCATATTAACGATTGAATTATTCTACCTTGTTAATTTATTGAATTAGTTTAGAGTTTAATTCTTAGAAAATTTGTTCAATATTTTGAGATATCAATTGTAAATTAGATTGTAATTCTTAAAGTATTCTTTCAATGAATGGTCTTAATAAATTTTGATTTAATAATGATCCTGATAATAATTTTTTATTAAGATTTATCATTTTGGATTGCCAAACACTGAATTTAGTAAATGTTCCTAGTAAAATGTTTGAAAACTTATTTGTAAATTCTTTGTCTTAAATATTTATATATTCTTTTATGTTATTTAAAATGATATCCATTAATTATTTTAATTATTTTGGTATAATTTTCTTAATCTTTATTTTTTGTCAGATTAAAATAATATAAACATTTGGAAATTAAACTAAATTAATATAGAATAATAATTCATAAAAAAAATTAAATAATGTAATAAGATACAAATACAACATTTGAAATATAAGACCCTAATTAGTAATACTAAGCACCTATTTAAGTAGAGACACAATAAGGTATATTTAATGATCTAATGAAAAAGTTGTATATACATAGCCTATGAATGCTGATTAAGCACAATATCCTCCTCTTCCTCTACAACCATAATAAAATTTTGTTGTTTAAGGGACTCCTTGTAAAAAATGATTATTCTACCTTTTTAGATTAAGTTGGTGCTCCTCCTGGTTAATAAGAGTTGATAATAGTAAATTCTTAAGGCATAAATTCAGCATAATCATAGATGCTATGTAATCAATCAAGATTTCCAATTTTAATCACTTGCCCTTATTGTTAAAAATAAGGAACAACTAGAATTGAATATGCCACAGGTTCAGGTACTTGGTGTTGTTGTTTCATACTTTTTTTATTTTATTGCATTCTTTGTTGGGTTCCATTTGTAAGTGATAAATGTTAAGATTCAAATCATATGTGTTCAAATTGTGGTGCACTTGTTGGTTCATGTTCATATAAAGTTTGTGGTTGATATCATATTTATCATATTTGTATCGATTTAGATCTATTCAAACCATTTTTTACTAAATATACATTTTGATACATTATTTTATATTATATCTTATTCTAAATCATTGAATCAATCATTGAATCAATTAATAAGAACTAATTTTTTATGTTACTTATTATTTTTTTTATTCTATAAAAATTCTTGTTTAACATTATAATTATATGTACAATATAAATGAAAAAATTATCTTAGATATTGGTATAAAGAAAAATAAAAAAAGTTTGCTTATATTTTATGATTTAAACAAAAAGAAGTATGAATTACATAAGTAGTTTAATTACTTATGAAATTAATAATGACTGGAAATGTTGTTTAAATTTTAGAATAAGAGATAATAAATAAGACATGTAGTTATTTTGTTAAAATGAATAAAAATAAAGGGTAATGATAAATAAATGATGAATTAGTTATATTTTATATATATAAATAATCATTTATTTATTAATAAATGAACAGAAGAAAAACAGTAGCAAAAGAAATAATAATTGATGTGGAAGATTAAATAAAATAGAAAGAATTAATGTTTGCAGTATAGTATTAAATTCAATAATGAGCCTGTCATTTAAGTTTACAGAGATAATATAAATTTAACAGATATATAGATAGATTCAATAACGAGTATAATGTAAAATATAGAAATCTTTAAAACATGGTGTCCTGAATCAAGTACATTGTTTGAGTTCACTCGTTTGATATGTTAAAATTTGTAATATGAAAGAATTGGAAAAGAGAATGCAGTATTTCATATAGGTTGTTAATGATTCTTAATTTTAAGGTGAATAGGGTGATAAGTTTTATATAATTCTAACAGGAAGAGCAGGTGTTTACATTAGAAGATAATAATAATAAATAGAAGCTGAAGAAAGTGCTATGTTGCCAAAGATAGAAAAAATACTAGAAAGAATGTAAATTAAAACAATTGAAGAAATAGAGTAAGATTAAAAATTCTCTTTTTATGAAAAACTTATTAAGAAGTAATCAAAATAAGTTAAATAAATTGAAGCAGAATTATTATTATTAAATGTAGGTAATTTCGATATGTATTTTACAATTAATGGAATATGTAAATTCTAATAATTGTCATAAGTACATTCTGGTCTCTATTTTGGTGATATGGCTTTAACAACTGATAAACCTAGAGCAGCTAGTATTATTGCTGTAACTGATGTTTAAGCTTTAAGTTTAAATAAAAACAATTTTAAAGTAAATTATAATAAATATTACAATTATAGAAAATATTTGAAAAGTAAATCAAAACATAATAAGAAAAAATAGATTACTTTCTTAAGATGTTTCCATCTATGACTAAATTTAAAATGAGTAAATTAATCATGTATTTTACATAATACAAGTATCCTGTTAATTATACTATTTGGAAATAAAATGATATCGTAGATGGATTCTTCTTATTAAAAGAAGGTGAAATATAGCTTTAATAAACAGTTGATTATAATTAACTTCTCAAATCTGAATAAACCTAAATATCTTTATCTCCAAAAAAAGAAAAAACTAATTAAAAAGAACTTATTACTGTATAATATTTATATTCAATATTTAGATAGCTCATCTTACTGGAGGTTGTTTTGTTGGTGAAACTGATATCTATCTATAAAATGAAAAAAGAGATTATACTGTTAAAACTATGACTCAATGCAATGTATTTGTATTACAATTAGATAATTTTACTATTGTTAAAAAATCATTTCCTGAATTTATAATACCACTCCAATCTTTACAATTAAAAAATATAGCATTATATAAAAAAAGATTGAATGAAATTGTGTAAACTAAAATTGCCAATATTAATCTTCATAAAAAAGAAGAAGTCAAAAATATTGAAAGAAGATACATCAATGAAATTGAAATCAAATAAAAAACATAAAATTCTATTTAAGAATCCTCACCTATTCTCAGATCTACTTTACAACCTAAAATGACTAAATAATAAATGGTTGAATAAAATTTATCAATAGCTGATTAACATACTAAATCGGATATAGCTGCTGGTAAAAATGAAGAATTCAATATGCTTAAAATGGCTGGAGAAAACTTTCAAAAATGTTTGCTTATCAGAGTAGAAAAATAATTCGAATAATTTCAACCAGCAAAACCTAAGTATTTATATTAAATTTATCATAAGAGGTAAAACTCCTTACTTTAGCAAACATCAAAAAGATATTAAAGATTTACTTGAATAAATTAGAAGACATTAATTACCTTAACTTTAATCAAAAGAACCAATCGTATTTAATGAATTATAAGAAGAAGAATTATAAAATAATCTTCCATTCCTCACTATGACGAAATAACAATTAAGAATAATCAACCCTTTAATTTAATAAAAAGTAGAAATACTCAAATAATGCTTAAGTCGTCAATCTCATACATCTATTTCGAAATCAAAATCTGTATGTTAAACTGCAGATATAATATATAAAACTAAAGCATAACAAGGATTCATTCTTTGTGATTCTCTTTTTCCATATAAACCAGTTCATAGTACCAAAAATAGCAATAATTAACATTATAGTAATTTTAAAGTGGTTTAAAGAAATAAAACAACTTAATAAAGTTAAATATAAAAAAGATCATGCTAAGACATTACAGATACGAATTTTTTTAGTTCTTAACCTATGGTCTAATTTCCATGATCTCCATTTATATATTATAATTTTATAAAGCATTTATTATTATTTAATATGATAATTCTTTTTATTGTAAATTTAGACATATAAATACATATTGATCTAATTTCAATTCATAAAACCAAACTTTTAAATTTTATTTTACAAAACTATTGTTAATTTTAAACATTCTCCTGTGACCCTAACTTTAAACTATAATAATATTATAGTATATTTTAGATAATTTGCAATTCTATTTACTAATAATTTTTTAAATATTGTATTTTATTTCTGCATTATTTAAATTTTTTATAATAAAAGTTTACTTTTGAGTAAATATTTTATTATGATAATTCTTAATTGATCGAAAAATATTTCATTTGATATTATAACTTCATTTAAATTCTAATTGTTTTCTTAAATCATCTTGTCTGATTAATGGTTGCAGTGAAATTAATGTTACAATTTAAAGATTATATTTAAATATGAGTTCTTAAATATATTAAGTCAAAAATTTATTTTAATATCTTTTTAGAGTGTAAAAACTAATAAATGATTTATGATATATTCTTATTCTAAATAATCAATCCAATTTAATATCCCATAAACGAATAAGTTTATCTTTGCTACCAGATGCTAATCTACCATCAGGAGAGAAACATACTGAGTAAACCTAAGCGCTGTGACCATCCAATTTAATTTTTTGTTGTCCTGTCTTCACATCCCAAATACAGATAGATTTATCACTACTACCAGAAGCTATATGAGTTCCATCAGGTGAGAAGCAAACTGATAGAACATCATCACTATGACCATCCATTTAGGCTTTTAATTATCCTGTCAAAACATCCCATAAACAAATAGATTTATCATCACTACCAGATGCTATAGTAAATCCATCAGGTGAGAAGCATACTGATTCAACGTAACTTTTATGACCATCCATTTAGACTTTTTATTATCCTGTCATGACATCCCATAAACGGATAGTCTTATCCCCACTACCAGATACTAATGTAGCACCGTCAAGAGAAAAGCATACTGAGAAAACACATTTACTATGACCATCCATTTAGGCTTTTAATTATCCTGTCTTTACATTCCATAAACGGATAGAGTAATCCCTACCACAAGATGCTAATGTTTCACCATCAGAGGATAAGCATATACAACAGACACCACCAAAATGACCATCCAGTTAGGCTTTTTATAATCCAGTCTTAACATCCCATAACCGAATAGACCCATCTTCACTACCGGATGCCAATGTAGTCCCATCAGGAAAGAAACATACAGATGAAACCCATTGATAATGACCCTTCAATTATGCTATTTCTAATCCTGTCTTAATTTCCCATAAACAGATAGAATTATCCCCACTGCCTGAGGCTAGTATAGTACCATCAGAAGAGAAGCAAATCGACGTGACATAATCATTATGGCCATCCAATTTGGTTATTTGTTCTTCTGTTGTTTTAACACCCCAAAAACGGATAGATTTATCTACACTACCAGAAGCTAATGTATAACCATCAGGAGAGAAACATACTGAGGGGATAATTCCACTATGACCTTTCAATTTGGCTTTTAATTCTCCTTTATCAACATCCCACAAGCAGAGAGTGTTATCACAACCACCAGATGCCAATGTAGTACCGTCAGGAGAATAGCATATTGGCCATACAGAATCACTATGAGTTTCTAATTTGCCTTTTTCTTATCCAGTCTTAACATCCCACAAACAGATAGACCTATTTCCATTCCAAAATGCTAATGTTGTACCATCAGGAGAAAAACAAACGGATCTAATATCATCTTGACAATCCTATTTGGCTTTTAATTATCCAGTATTAACATCCCACAAACGAATAGATTTATCTTCACTCCCAGATGCTAGAGTTAATCCATCAGGAGAATAGCAAATTGACCACACATAACCACTATGACCATCTAATTAGCCTTTTTACTATCCAGTCTAAACATTCCAGAAACGGATGGTCTTATCTCCACTCCCAGATGCTAATGAATTACCATCAGGAGAAAAACATACTGAACAGACACTTCCAATGTGACCATTTAATTTTGCTTTTTATTATCGGGTCTTCACATCCCATAAACAAATAGAGTCATCCCCACTACCAGAAGCCAAAGTGGTACCATCAAGAGAAGCTTACTGATTTGACATCGCTAGTATGGCCTTCTAAAATGGCTATTTATTATCCAGTTTGAACATCCCACAAACAGATAGTGTTGTCAAAACTGCCAGATGCTAATGTAGTGCCATCAGGAGAGAAGCATAATGACCCGACAGTGCTAGAATGACCATTTAATTGATTCAATTCCTAGATTTTCTTACCCTTGAACAACATGAATGCCAAACTTTATATTAAATTAAATTTATTATATTGTATCAAAAAACGGTCTTGTGTTTTATATGAACAAGTGCGCACTATTCAAGTGCTCAGTAAAATAATTTAAAAAATTCTTTCTCTTTATCAAAAATTTTTATTTATATATTTTCTATGTAGAGTATCTTCAAAATTTATTATTTAAATATTGTGATTTTAAAATTGTTGTAATAGGTTTAGAATTACAAATTTTATTATGAAGGATTGTTGTAAAGTGAATAATCATTATTTTACTAAAAGATTAATTGGCTATAAAGTAAGATCGATGTTTATAACTTTTGATCATAAATTAAATTGAAAAAAATAATTTATTAGAAGACCTTTAAGCAATTCTTCCTCATAAACAATTTTTCAAATGAATTTATGAGATAAATATTGAGAGACTACTATATGACAACAAAGTCGCTATATTATGCTCTTGCAGACACTGCATTGATGATGAAAAGTATCTTATTTTTTAGGTTAATAAAATAATAAATATTTCAAATAATATTTATGAAAGGTTGATTATGAAATAAAAATGAACAAGTATTGATGTAATAACTTAAAGAATTCAAAAGGCAATATAAAAAGAATAGGAAATATTGATAAATTCAAGTGACAGAAAAAGTGAATTTATTTGGAAGTAATGAATCTCAAAATAGAAGAAAGGAAAGAAATATAAATATTATTAAGGGAATCTACTTAGGGGAGAGACATAACATATGATTCTCTAGATCTATCTAATCTCAAAATTAGTTTTATTAATATTTCAATTTCTTATTAATAATATGACTTTAAAATAGTTTAATAATCAATATCTGTAGTAACCAGCATGACCTGTATTATATGGTTAACTTGAATAATAAGAATTAAAATTACTAATATTTTGAGACGTGTTGTTGTTGAGTAGTAGTTCTACTAAATGGTATAACTTTAGGTTCAGGTATTAAAGGAGGAGGACTAAATGATGGTGGAAGCATATAAGCTAATATATGATGTTCATGTGATCTTAATTCTAATAAGAAATCATCAGCATGTAAAAATGAATGAGATACAAAAGCACCAATTTAATACAGAATTATAGAAAAACAACGTCCTATATATTTAATTTTATTATATACCATATTTCTCCTCAAGATTATGTCTAATGTAATCTGTTTTATGAGCATAATGTTCTTAATGTAAAGATTTTGTATAAAAATCCATTATATCAAATTTCATTTCATTGCTTATTTAATAACCTTGTTTCACACATTCTATTTTCACTTTTTATGCCATGGTACGGTTAAAAATTTAAAAATAAATTAAATTATGTTAAATATTATCTTAAATAAATATAAGTTTGCATTTACTTATCCATGTCCTAGAAAATTAAGAGAAATTGTTAAAATGTCATTATTTGAAAGAGAATCAAAAGATTAAGTTGTTTCATTATGGATGGAGTATCATAAAGATAAATAAAATAATGTTTCATATGTTGTAAGTAAAGATGAATATGAAATTCTAAAGAGAAATACAAAAGAATCTCCATTATTTTTATTACCTATAAAACGTAATGGAGGCCACTTCCAATTAATTGGATAAGCATAAACAAATAGCATTGTAAGGATATTCCTTATTTTAGTTATTTACTTTTTTAGAAGAATATAAAAAATCTGGGTCTTTTTCTTCTCCATATTTTATTTTGACAATATTTGATGAATTATTAGCCTAAAAATAAGTATCCTTAATAAGAGGAGATATTATGGATTATAAAATTGATAAAGATGAAGCTACTTTTTTAACTAATCAATTTCTTAAATTTTATATGACACCCGATTTATATGAAAAATACATCTATACACTTAATCATAAATAAAATGAATTCAATTATGATGATTTTAAAAATCATTTTTAAATATGATTATTTATCAATACAATATTTATATTTTAATATATATATATATTAATTTTCACCATGAAAATGTTTAAAATTCATCTTATTATTGATGAGATTCTTTAGCCAAATTCTCAGCAAATCCTCCCCAATCACCTCCTCCAAACTCTTTATTTGCATCAAAATCTATTTAAACTTCATCACTTTATTTTAATCCTTAATCAAATACAAAATTTTAATCAAAATTGATAGATGGATTTTAATCAAATTGAATATTTATTTGTTATTCATCTTTTTATTAAATTTCTTAATGATCTTCTATATTTTTATTATCAACATTATTATTATGATTACCAAATCCAATATCTACTTCTAATTTTATTTCTTATTATTATTATTGAGGTTATTAAACATAATTTTTTTCAGTAAATCCAAAATTTTCTACTAATTATTATTTAAATTGTTGTTATTCAAATAATTCTAATTATTTTTAATCATTCACATCTGCTTAAACTACTTAATTAATTAAATCCTTATTTTATTTATCATTGTATAAAGAAAATACATCAAATTATTCTTTATTATTTGACTCAACTAATTTAATTTATTCTGATTATTATTCTTATGATTTAATTACTCTAAAATCAATAATATCATTTTTTTTTTCTAATACTTCTCCAAATTATTACTAATCTAATTATATTTAATTAGCTTTAATTTATAACAGTTATTAATCTGGTTAAAAAGATACAAATGTATTATTCTGTACTTCATGTGTTTCAATTGGTTAATAAGGAGTAGAATTCTTTCTTTATGATTTTAAATCTTTAGTTAAAGTACTTAAAGTTTCAAATATTGAACTCATTTAATCTCTTTATAATTTTAATTCTTTTTATAACTCTTATTCTTATCTTTTCTTTCTTTCTTACTCAATTTCATAATTGGATCTTAAATCTCCTATTATTTAATTTGCATAATCTGATACTGTATTAATTGTATTTGTAGTTTATTTAGAATATTCTTATTTTAATTAAATATTCAATCCTAATTTTTAATTAATTTCAATTGCTTATTTACTTAAAGATTCTGTAAGTTTTTACTTTTATTAATCAATTTATTTTAGTTCTTCTTAGAATAAATAATTTTCATCTGAAATCTTTTTTAATAAAGTTTTATATTGTTCATTTGTGGTTTGTAATGATTCTAATTAACTTTGGGTTGAAATTAAGATTTTCTCATGAGATTCCTTAAATTCATTGAGTAAATAATTAGCTTCTTTATAATTCTATTCTAATTATTATTGTTGTATTAACATTTATTCTTAAAGTAGGACTTATTTTTAAAAATCTATATTTTATTTAGGTTTTTAAGAAAGAAGTGATTATTATTGTTATTATTAAATCATATTTTATGAAGGTAGTATTTACTATTAAGTAACAGTTTATAAAATAATTTATTATGTTAATGTTTAAGATTCATTATCATTTATAATTGAGTCATTTGACTTTTATTATTATTAAATTGATTATTATGTTGATTTTGTAGGTATTTAAAATGATTATGATGTAGTTGATTAAGTTTATTATTGAAGAGGTGTTTATTCAATAATAGGATTAGGTATTTCCATATAATTGAAAGCACTATCTAAATACTTAATAAAAAATAGATACATTTATCAATAGGAGATTTAGATTTATCAAAATTAGCATCAAAATCTAAAAGATCATTAGATTTAGAAACAAGTGTAGATAATTATTAAGATATCAATATTTGTTAATTTAAGTATTCTGATAAAGAATTTGGTAATTTTTATGGTATTGGAACACTCTAAGATGCTAAAGATATAAGATGAGCTATAATTATATAAGAATGTGTGGTTATTCTTGGTTTAGTTTATAGATTTGGATCAACAAGATTAATGATACTTTATAATTAGGATTAAGTAAGTTAAGTTTTTTTGAACAAATTGATAGCCATTTAGGTTGAAACCTAATATATAATAATATTATATTACTGAGGAATTGGAATGATCCAATTATTAAATATAATTTTGATATAACCTTTCTTATTCTGGTTTTAGTTTATAGACTTCTTCTGTATCAGATTAAAATAATGGTAATGGACTTGGAATACATCTTTAAATTGAATCGTTTGAAACCTCAATATTATTTTAAGCATAACTGATCAACTTTAATGCCACATAAAATTCTTCTTTATTCAAAGTTTAATTATTAGGTGAACTTATTAACCAAATCTTCTTTAAAATATCAACTGATAATCCTGATCTTTTAAAAAATGTGACAGCTTAAGCTCCTCCAATTTAACCACTATTCTAATGCAATTATGTATTCAAATACTGTTGCATCAACTGCTTAATATAATGAGGCATAATATCCTCTCTCTTTATTATCTAATTTTACTCTGACACTCATTTATATAATAACTTAATTTTATTTATTAAGAATCCGCGTTAGTATAGTGGTTAGTATTCAAGCCTGTCACGTTTGAGGCCCGGGTTCAATTCCCGGACGCGGAGCTTTTTTTATATTCATTTATTTTTATTTATTTTTTAATTAATATTATATTTACTGTATGCATTTCTCATTTCTATCAATTTAAACTAAAAATTTTAATAAAATTTCCTAATTCTATTTTATACTCTGCTTTTTTTCATTCTCATCTTTCTATTTCCTTTTTTTTATTATAACTCTTAACAATATTATAATTTTATTACCTATATTGAATTATTGTTACTTTGCACTGTTTTAGTATTTATATTTCACTATTCTCAAGTAAATCATAAGCATTTTTAAATTTAGTTTATATTTAATTATTCTAATTTTGTCTAAATTGTTCTAAAAATAAAGAATTACATTCAATTCAAAATTCTTTAATATAGATTTAATCTAGAAATAATTAAACACTCTTTTATAAATTTTTGAACTCCAATTTTTCTATTTCTTAGCAATATTTATTTTATTATTTAAATAATTATATCTTATTGAATTGATGAATTAATTTATTTAAAATTAAATTTGTCTTTTTTAATTTAAAAAAAAACTTTATAATAAAATAATATCTTAAAAAAAAACTATTTCTACCATCTCTGATATAATTAATATAATCAATCTTTTAAAAAACATTTTTGTCAAAATAATCCTGGCCTTTTATCAATGAAGACAGAATTTTATACAACAATCTTTTGGGTAATTCTAAATTTTTATAATTCTTCGCAATTTATTTAATTATTATTGATTTATGATTGCCTATATTGCTTCTAAGAAATAGATTGTACTATGTTTTAATAATTTAACAATAGATATTTATTGTAATAAATAAAAGTTAACAATTCAGATTATTAAACTTTAAATATAAACATTTATTATTATTTATTGTAAAATTATATCATAAGTTAAAAATATTGATAATCGAAATAAAGGTTAAGATTAAATAATTATATTAAATATAAATTTCTTACTAATCAAAGAACTAAAATATAGAACATAAAAATATCAAATTATAAATTTGTAAATAACATTTTTTTCTAGATTATAGACATGCTATAATGATAATTAAATTGAACGTTCACTATTCCATGAAACAATCCAAGTTAAAAATTAGATTGATAATTATAAATTTAAACTTATTTATAAGGACTTTTAATACATTAAATAGTTTCTTATCATATTTTGTAATTTTCTAAACTGAATAATAACATCATCAATTAATTCAAATTAAATTAGGAAGCACCTTAAAAATATTCCTTGTACATAGTTGTTTATGCTAAATTTTAAATATTGATATTTGTTACTAACTCTAAAAAATTATCATAATTCATTAATTTATTTTTTTAATATAAAATGGGAAGTATGTATCATAAGCCTATTTAGATTTTTGTTAGGGAGATAAATAATATGATTAATATTGCCAAGACAATACCCATGTTTATGAAGCTACCATCAATTAATCTTCTATTACAATAATTCATGGAAATATTTTATAGAATAACCTTAGAGGAATATGTAAATGACCTAATTTTATGTTAGTGAATGCATAAATTGATCCAAACTCCTTTACATTAATGTAATTGCCAGAAATGCAACGAGAATTTAGTAATTTATCATAATTATTTAGTAAAACCCAAAATACCTATTATTTAACGATTACCACCAGGTGCATGCTAATCTGAATTTATTATTAATCTTAAAATTAATTATTAAGACAACAAGAAAGAAATAATAGAAGCATATGAATAATGGTAAATAAATTTATTCAAATTAGTTTTGAACTAATGTTTTAACATGAATTAGAAAATGTTGGGTACAGAGAAGGTAAAGATAAATTTAAAGATAAATCTGAATAATTACACAATTAAGATTGTTTACTTGAAGCAATATTCAATCGAATTAAATCCAATAAAATGATTAGAACATTTCAAATTTTCAGTGCTGATATGTAGATTTGTTAATAATACAAAAATGAATTAAAAAAATAATAACATAAATATTTGTCTAAAAAGAATTTTGAAAGATGTTCAACCTAAGAATAACTTAATGAATCATATACTGAAAGAATACTTACAACAAATTCTTGTGACTATGCTGATTTTGTCAAAAAAAATTATATTAAATAACAACTCAAAAGATCATTTCCTGATACTTAATAAAAAGAATTCTGAATTTCATTATTTTTGTTTATGATATTATATTCATACGAGAATAATTAAATATTCATTTATTATTTTTTAGTCTTGATGTTTTGGCTTTATTTTAATAAATTAATTAATTTACAGCTAAATGATCAAATGGATCAATATAAGATTTTACTTAAGTATTTTATTGTTAAATTCTTTTTTTTAATTCTTCAATCTTTTAAGAATGTTCAATTTATAATTATTTTGCAGAAAATCCTCTTTTTAAACCTAAAATAGCTGAATTATTAAAATTGTAATTTTTATCAATTCTTTCAGTCATTATTGTTTCTTATTATGCTTCTATTAATGATTAAGGTCTATTTGTTTATTTTTCAAATTTTGGTTTTTTTGTTTTTAAAGTTTCACCAATAAAATAGAAATTTTCAAACATAGGTTCAAATTGTATTTCTTAATCACTTTAAAGTGATTTTTATAATTCTAAATTGAATTATTATTCTCCTTATTTGAATTCTTTAGGATCAAAATTGAATTTTATTAGGTTTGGTAAAAATGGAGGTTATATTTTTCTTTTTAAAATATCAATTAAATTCATATCATCAAAAAATTAATGACTTAATATATCTTAAATTCCTTCTCTATTACCCATTCTTTAATTAGGATCTTTATGTAATAATTTTCTTAATAAATCTTTAGCTTCTGGAGAACAAACCTTAACTGGAAATTGTAAATCATCATTTAAAATACTTTAAAAGATTTCATCTGTATTTTTTGAATAAAAAGGAGGTAAACCAGTTAATAATTCATAAAGTAAAGCACCTAAACAATAATAATCAACTGCAAATGTATGTCCTTATTATTATAACATTTCTGGTGCCATATATTCAGGAGAACCACAAAAAGAATATGCTTCATCAGATTATCCCATATTTGGTTTAGCTAAACCAAAATCTGCTACTTTTAAATGTCCATATTCATCAATTAAAATATTTTCTGGTTTTATATCTCTATACAATACATTTTAACTATGTAAAAATGCTATTGCAATACAAACTTCAACAAAATAAATTTTTGCTTAATCTTAATTCATTCTCTAAACTTTTCTTAATTAATTAAATAATTCACCTCCAGGACAATATTCCATACCAAAACATACCCAATGTTTTGTCTCAAAAGCACATTCTAATTAACATATAAATTATTTTGGCATTTATTAATCACTTAAATTCAATTAAACCATAACATCTCTCTCATTTTATACTATTTGTTGTTTTTAATTTTCTACTATAAATTATTTTGATATCAATTTTAATGCTATAAATCTTCCATTCCTTTTTGATCTTACCAAATATACTCTTGAAAATCCTCCTATTCCTACACATAATAAAAAATGAAAGCTCTTTAATGATAATTTCTAAGTATATTCTGGATATAAAGGCTATAATTTTATTGTTTACTTATCCAATATCATTAAATCTTTGTTCTTTAAACTTAAATAATATTCTATTGCTATATTATTCTCTACTGATGAAAATCCAATTATATTCTCATCTTGTGTTTATATATAAAATATATACTATCTTAACAAACTTCACTCAAATATTCTAGTAATTGATCTGTTTTCTTTTCAAAACAATCATATTTTATCTCTAATGTTTTCTCTTAATCATAAAGATGAATTATTATATAATGTTATAAAGATCCTTATTATTATTATTATTCTTTTTATTTAAAAGATTCTTTTAAAAAATCATGATGATTTTGATTTTTTAATTTATCTGTACTTTTAGCTTTATTTAAAGTAAAATGGTATTTTTGTAATAATTTTTTAAAATTAAATTCGATTGGATTGCTAACACTTCCACTCTTTTATTAATTTGACTACTCTTTTATTTTATTTATCAAATTTTAATTACTTTAAGTTTTCTAGACAGGTTCTGTTGTTATTTTATTTGATTTTGATAATAATTATTCAGAAGACTTAGTTTTTGATTATTTTTTTAAACTTTTTTTCTCTTCTATTAATCCTTTCTTTAAATCCTATACAGAATTGAGTTGATAACAAATTTATTGTTTCATTAGATTAATATTTTTTTATTATGCACTTCCATTCGAATAATAACCCGAAACAAAATTATTATTTTTTGCTTAACTAAACCTTTAAACGTTTGGAGATTATTATTTTCTCTTAGTGTCTAATTCAGATTATCTATGTTTGTATTCTCTTTAGGTTTAACAATTAAAATTTAATTGCATCTAATTTTTAATTTACACATTAATTTATGGAACTAGGTTTGAAAAGTTCTAATATTTAAGAAAATATAATATTACCTTTAAAGATGAATGAGATTAATTTCCATTAGTTTATTTTTTAAGCATGCTGTTATAAGGTGAAGGATTTAATAAATGAGTATTTGTAATTGACATGTTTATATTATAATTTAAATATTTTGATATATAAAATGATGCGTCCAGGTCTGGGGGTTGGAGTATTTATAAAGAATGGAGATTCTGTATTGATGAGTTATCGTAAAGTAATTTTAAATGATAAATGATAAGGATAATGGATATTTAGCATTACCTGGAGGACATCTTGAATTATATGAAGAATTTGAAGATTGTGCAATAAGAGAAGTAAAGGAAGAGACTAATTTGGATATCGAGAATCCACAAATATTTTAGATGGTCAATGTTGTAAAAAAAGAAATAGACCATCATTTTGTTGTAGTGTTCTTAACTGCAGATTATAATGAAAAAAGTTAATTGATGAATGTAGAACCTAATAAACATAATGATTGGAAATGGATCAATGCTTAGAGTTTTTAGTAACATTATAATTAAAAACAATTATTTTTTGGGTTAATGAAATTGGTTGATAGATTTGGTAATGCAGAAACATTGTTTAATTTAATATTTAATAAATGATAATATTTATTCTGTATTCTTCAACCCATTTTATAAAGTAGAATAGCCATTTATCCTTCATAAAAGAACATATATCTTTTGCTTTCATAAGATGTGTAAGAATTGAAATGTTTCCCTATTTATTAACAATTTCTCTACCAACAACACAATGCCAATTTGGCCCATATTTTTCATCAAAGAATTTCTTTATATAATTTGAAATCTATGATTCTACTTTAAAATGTTCTACTGCATATCTTGCCTATTAATTATATATTATTAATTTAAAACTTAGGTTTTTGCATCATTTATCATATCAGATTATTCTGGCATGTCAATTATCTAATCTAAATTCTCATCAGCCATTTGAAACTGAAATTAATTTATAATAATATTAATTATATATATAATTCATTAAAATAATAATTACACTTTTTCTTTATTTTTAGAGGCTTCTAATATATAAAATTGCATTATTCTTTATTATGTTAATTGAAGAAATAAGTTACATTGAAGCTTACATTCTGATAAACAATAATTTAATGTATTTGTTCAATACTTTTTAATTCTTTTTTCTTTAAATTTCTAATATGATTAAAACATTCAATTTTAAGTTCTAGTCCCATTTTTATCTTGTATTTCAATCCTTAAAGTTCTATCTTCCTGCAATATATATTTAATGTAGATTGTAAGAGACTTTCATTAAACTCTAAATAGCTTTTGCTTTATTAATAAAGCCTTACTAAAAGAATTATTTAAATGTAATTTTGTATTAATCAGTAACCAAAATCGAAATCCTAAATAGCTCTTGAAGATTAAACTATTTAATCCCTTGAATACATAAAATATTCAACAATGTTCTCAATTTTTTATTATTTTCTATCATTTGTTTTTATACTTTCATATATTTGTAGTTTCAGGATTGTTATTAATTGAAAGTCATTATTTATTGAATGAAATCATTAGATAGGTTTTATTGGTATAATTTGCCAATTTATATTTAATCAAGTAATAGGAGATAGAGATAATTTCTCATTTCTTTTGATTTGATTTAGGGATGTCACCCTTATTAACATCTTATATAAAAGCCATTCAAATTATGAAATGAATAAATGGAAAAGTTGAGCTAAAAATTAAAAATACCTACTGTAATTATTATTGAATAATTTAAGTCCCATATTCCAAAATAGTATTAGAATTCAAATGTTATATTAGTATCGATTTAATAAAATATTCCTTTAAGTGATTTTATTTAGAAATGCGTAAATAAGTATTCTTTAACTATATTTATATAAATTTTATATTTTATTTTGATATTAATATCTTGATTATTTCAATCATCATCTCCTCCTTCATCACCTCCTTCTTCTAAATCACCATATGTTTTTTATTCAAATTTAGGATCATGATAATCTTGCCAATCAAATCTTGGTTTTGTGTATAAACAACTAAATAACCAACATCCAGTTAAAAATAATCCACATCTTGTAAACATAGCTATATTATATATATATATTGTTACTTCTAGTCCAATAATCATTAAAATCTCTATGTGATTTACTTAATACATATCCCCATTTATTTGGATTGTATTCTACAATACCTTCTCTTAACATCCAAGATGATGTTTCATAGCTTATAGCTATATTCTTAACTTTATATTCGAATTCTCCTGGTTTCTCAAATAATCCCTCTTTAAATGCAGCAGGCATTGTAGATCTTGATCCTGCTTTCTAAAATACTTTCCACAAAGCCATTTTTTATTTTAAATAATAATTATTATTATAGATTAATATTCATCTAATACAAAGTAAAATATCTATTTTTACTGCCATCATTCATATTCCCTTAGAATTACTTCCATTAATCTCATTAAACATACTCTTCATTTCTTATAAATCTCTGTGCTTTATTTCTTACGAATAAATACTCAAATTCTATTTATATCTTTTATTTTAATCAACATAATACTAATACTCTCTTAATATTATAAATATATTGATTCATTCTTTTTCCTTTTTACTCTTTTTTAAATTTAAAACTTATTATTTTTAATTAAAATTTTCCTAATATTTATTTATTGTTATTATCATATAAATGATTTATTTGACAAGTTTATTTAGAATTTTTTTAGATATTTTTATTTAGATAATGATTATATAAAAGTACATAAGTCTTTTTTTGAAATTTAAAAACATTTAATAATTTGAATATATCTTATATAGACATTTAAATATTGTAATATATAATAAAATAAACTTTTATATTAATTGTTTGAATTCTATTAATTATAATTTTTTATAATTTTAATATGTTTCAAGAATTCCCAGCTATTGTTATTGATAATGGATCACATGAATGTAAAGTCGGAATTTCAGGAGATCATACCCCTAGATTTAGTTTCCGTGCAGCGTAGTAAGACAAAAATAATTTATGGAGAGCAAAGAGTTCTTGATTGGCGAAGAAGCTATAGCTTAAGAACATTTTCTATAATTGAGTTAGCCAATTTAATATGGGATTAAAAAAATGATGTCCAATTCAAGATGCTATTATGAGAATTGACTTAGGAGGTAAAACATGCAATCAAAATTTGATTTCCATCTGTGATTAATTGATTATTTACAGACTTATTCTGGTGGAATGGAATTGTTAGAAATGTGATTGTTATATTGCTTATAATTTTGAATTAAAAATGTTGAAATATGAGGAAAGTGCTCAAAATTATAGATTATTTATGAATTTCCAGATGGAAAAATTTTTGAGATCTAAAATTTAAGATTCCGATGCCCTGAATTAATGTTTAACCCTAAACTTTTTAATTTCTAATACTTGGGTATTGATGTCCTTGGAATTCATGAGTTTATAAAGAGTTCAACTAAGAAATGCTATATAGATTTGATACAACATCTCTTAGAATTATTTATTTTATCTTAATTATAGTAATATTTTATTATCAGGAGGTAATACATTATTATCAAGATTCCCTGAAAGATTAACAAAAGATTTAAAATCAATTAGACCTGAATCAATAAGGAAATTATCATGCTGGTTTTGAGGATCAATATTAACATCATTATCAAGATTCGAACCTAAGTGGATCACAAGATTGGAATATTATGAAAATGGTCCTTAAATTATTTATAAAAATTACCTTATTGAAAATTTAATAAATTTTAAAGCAGCAGTATCTCTATCAACAACAAAATTTTTAAGACTCATCTCTCTCTAATAATCTCAACAAAGCTTCACTTTGTGCTGGCCATTTGGAAATAACTATGGAGGATTTCAGAGTAAGTTATTTATTTTGAAAAAATTTTGTAAAAAATTTCAATATCTGCAATAAAGAAAATTATTATTTTACTTCAAAAATATGCATTTTCCAATATTATTATTGGGTAATCATATTCTAACTTTCAAAACTTTTCAATACTTTTTTATTTACTTTCTAAAAAGGACTGACATTATTTCAAAACTTACAAAACTAAAAATGTGTCTAAATTATGCATTTAAATTTTTTTTATTTATTTTTAATTATTTATATTTGTTTATCTTAAGTTTTTCATTTTTTAATTTAAATTATTTGTCATTCATAGAAAATTTTTTATTATTT